TTGGACTAGAAGACCTCCAAAGGTCCCTTCCAACTCTGTTACCCTGTTATTCTGATATTATTCTTCTCTACTCAACCTCCTACTCCCCTTGGGTGAAGCCTATGGGAAAACATTTCATGTTTGCTCTGTCCAATCATTTTTTTTTTATAAAAATGGATTGTGTGAAATATGTTGATGTGTTGCTAAAATTATATTCCAAATATGTGGATTTTCTCTATGAAGAAACTTGAACTTACCATATTGGTTGGACTATTACCAGTGGTGGGATTCAATTATTTTTACTACCGGTTCTGTGGGCGTGGCTTGGTGGGTGTGGAAGGGGAAGGATACTGTAAAATCTCCAATCAGAGGTGGTATTTGCTGGTCCTCTAAACTACTCAAAATTTCTGCTACCGGTTCTCCAGAACTGGTCAGAACCTGTTGAATACCACCTCTGACTATTACCAACAAAATCATGATATGTTCCTAGAGAGACACCTGTGTCCCAGATAGCTGAGCCTTTGAAGTAGCTATTGATTGATACAAAGGAAAGATAGGACAATATGATTCCATAGAGTCAGAGTTTAATTCACTGCTGAAAACAAGTAATTTTTTATCTAAAGTAATCTAAATCGATGTCATGGTCGTTGTACAGTTGAGTTTGATTGGTTTTTTTCCCTTGGTAGTTTTTTCTATTTATCTTTTCTGCTTTATTTCTGTTTCCTGCACAAGGTTTGCTGTATAAGGCAACCCAATCTGGACTGAAAAAGACTTAATTCTTTTCACAACAGTCTCTGAACTGCTATTAGAGACAGCATCCCTTGGAATGCTTTTTTTAGCAGCCGATTAACTAGAGACTTGTGACATCTTCTAGACAAAAAAGAAAGGAAAGAAAGAAAGAAGGAAGGAAGGAAGGAATAGTACCATTTGAACAACATTGTATTGACAAAATTACCATCAGTCAATTGCAAAAGTCAGCTTTCCTTGGAACAGTGTACATCCTGTAATGATACCTTTAACACTATCAAACAATGCCTGCCTGTTTCAGGTCCCCTAAATGCCAAATCCAATCTAAACATCTAACTGACTGTGCAACTAACAACAATAATAACAATAATATAAGCCTCTGCACGGAAGTACAGTAGTTTATTATCCAGAAAAGTTTATCAAATTGGTTTTTGTGTGGGTGTGTGCACCAGAATTTTTGTTATAGCGCACATAGGTGTCAAACTCGTGGTTTCATGTTGCAGTCATGTGATGTATTGTGATGTGTTTCCCCTTTGGTGAGCTGGGGTGGGCAGTTTCTGACCAATTCTGGAGAACCAGTAGCGGAAATTTTGAGTAGTTCGAAGAACCAGCAAATACCACCTCTGACTGGAGATTTTACAGTTATCCTTCCCTGCCTTGCCCGCCAAGCCACGCCCACAGAACCAGTAGTAAAAAAAAAATGAATCCCATCACTGGTGGGGGTGGCCTGTGCACGGGCCGCGAGTTTGACACCCCCAGTGTAGCAGAAACTGATACTGGTGCTCCTTGCTTACCAACATTATTTGGACCAGAAAATCCACCGCTAAGCAATGTCAGGTGATCACACCAACAGTAATTGCAGCAGCCCCAGCTGCTGTCCTAAGTGAATCCTGCATTGTCATAGAGTCCCACAGTCACATGACTGCTATTTGCGATCTCCTGTCAGCTTTCCCACTGACTTTGCTTGTCAGAAGCGGCAATGAAGGTCGCAAATGGCGATCACATGACCGCAGGATGCGGCAACATCATAAAGGTGAGCTAATTGCCCAATACCTGAACTGCAATCATGTGAGCTCAGGAAGGCCACAACTATGAGGACCCATCATGTGTCCTGCTCCTTCAAAGCCATTGTAACTTCAAACTGAAGGAAGGGGTGAACATTAAGTACCTGTTCAAGCTCACTGAAATGCCATGTACTAATCCATATACATTCCTTCTTTTGCACAGACAACCTTACACATATAGAGCAGAATTGCGATGGCATATACAGAGCCGTGCCTCCATACCACACATGCTTTCTGTAACATCCAAGGTGAGCTTTTTGCTTTCCCTTTGGCAGGGATAAACTGACAGCTGTGGAAATGTGTGAAGACTGAAATGTCCAGCATGAATGCAAATGAGATCTCTACATGCTGCTTTGCACTCTTGCAAGAAAAACCTCCCCTAGCAAAATGTAGCCAGGAAATTTCTGATGGATGCTTGTCCAATGCTGGTATCTGCAACAATTATCTCACAATAATTCATTTCAGCAGACATCACACCTCTTGATATCTTTGGAAGCCTGGCTTGTATTTCTTTCTTAGAACAGATGAATGCCTTGCAGCTGCTTGACAGTACTGTTCTAGTACGGTATGACTTGTCAAAGCCCTCTAAAATAATATTAGTCTTTTTTAAAAAAAAAACCAAATGAACCCAAACAGTTGCATGGTTTCAGTATGAAAATATAGCAAAATGGAATAGTTCATTTAACATAGCTGATTCAGCCACTGAATTATCAAAGTCACTATCCTAAAGCACCATTTCATTGTTATTTCCTTGGGCCTTTACTGAGAATTCTCACTTTCTACCATCAAGGACTTTGTTCAAATCGAATATACCGATGTGGAAATTCTTAAAATGCATGGCTAATTCCTCCTGCTGAGTTGTTGTTCTTACAGTCTCTTTAGTCAGCTATGACTTCTGATGTGTACAACTACATTTGCTCAACCAGTTTAAAGAAATCTTCTTGGAACACAGTGCCTCAAATGTAATTACTTTTAATATTTTGGCTTGATAGTCTCAAAGCCAATAAGGAAACTGTACAGTGAAGAATTTTGGAAATCTGGTTCTGGGGCATAGTACAAAACAGATAATGTCCTTGTGATGCACATTCAAGTTAGAGTCAATGATGGTATTATGAGGTGGTAGTGATAATAGTCTCCTCAAACAATGAACAGAAGGACTTCAGGCTTTTCACACTTTTTTTTTTTTAAACCCTCACAGATGTGTTTGAAAAGGAAAATCTTCTGTTGGAAATTAGTTCATCCTGCACCAGGCAAATACAAAGCATGAGACACAAAATGGAACTGTGAAACATGTCCTTTTATGTTCTATTTGATAATTTGAGAGACACACTGATAGAAAATATTAATGGAAAACATGCTGAATAGAAAAAAAAAATCATTCAGCATTGTCTACCCCTCAAAAAAACAAAAACCCCTGTATACTTTCTTTACCTATGAATGTTATTCTGGTTCTGTCAGCCTCCCAAGTAAAAAACACAAGATGAACTACAGTACTTTAAGGTTACATTCACAGAATTTGGCATGTCTGAAAGCACACTCTCTCTTTACGGCCTGATAAGTTAGGGCAGCTCCTTTCTAAAGTTTTTCACTCTGCTCATTGCTCAGTTATCAGCTCCTTCCCCTTTACCTGATTCTTCCCTAGACAGTTTCTCTTCTCCCACCTCCAGGTCATTCTCACATTCTATTGCAGGCTCCGTCTACACCTGATAAATTTACCCCATCATATGGTCCCTGCTGATCATCATCATTCATGAACCCCCCTCCCCGCCCCAATCTGGACTACTGCAATTGCTCTATGAGGACTTCACTTGAAGAGAATTTGGAAGCAAAATGCACAGATAGTAAAACCATTTTCATGGATAAACAAGTGTAATATAAACTCTTTCTGATCCTGTAGCTGCATTTGCTGTCATTAATTTAAAAAAAAAATTCCCAAGAACCTTAACAGTAGCACCACAATTCTGCCATTGTCTTATTTTGTTGCCTGGGTTTGGGCAAGAAAAAACCTTAATAGATTATTCCCCCCGACACGTTTTTCTTGTTTTTCTTTTAAACAGGAAAAGTTAGCTGCATTCAGTAGAATGATGCGATCACCTACTTGTTGTGAACTTGTGAAATACAAGAGGTTGTGAATTTAAGCTTCTAACAGCTTCAGTCAGCATGGCCAGTGGTTAACTCTGCTGAAATTATCATTTAGCAAAATTTAGGTTAGTTACTATCCTTCCCTTTAAAATATTCTTATCCCCTACTTTTAAAACATCATTTATCTCTTATTATGCATATTGATTTGTAGCTTAGTACTTAAATTAAAAATGCATATATGTATATCTAATGCTATGCACTAATGCATTGATAGAAATAAGGAAGAAGTGAATGAGACCTGCTCAAAGCAAGCCAATAGAATGATTTTCTTATGGAAAATTTCAGCTTGTGGAGCAAGTGGAAAAGTACCAGGATAAAATTTTCTAAGATACAAGAAGTGACACTCAAAACAAGAAGTCATTCTCAGAATAAGATGCTTCCTGTATGACCTGGGATGAGATAGCTTGCAAATTTAAAAATACATGGAAGTGTGAGAGAAGTACCAAAGTGTAGCTAGCCAAACCTAGACATGAACAAAAATGGACAGGAACTATACTGTTTTGGAGTTTTCCTTCAGAACAAGGTTTTCCTGGAATTCTAACTTGGCTCAACAGACTTTGTTAGATACATATGCATGGATGTGTGAAGTGTGAGTAATAAATCTTTGGGTTGAAAAAATAAAAGTTACAAGTGCTGCATTTTTTTCAAATATCCATACAGAAATAAAACATGTATCATAAAGATCTTTGTGCCAACATGGCACGGTTACAACTGACACCTCTTCCTTGCCCTCCTGTCCCTGTTGACAAATTGATCGGGCAGGCTGCGAATAGAGCTGATGAGGTGTCCAACCTTTTTACATCTTTGACTTATTTGATCCTATCCAGGCATCTTGAGCCTACAACTTTCATGACAACTTAGTTGAGCAATTCTGAAAAAGTGATCCATGGTACGCTCAACATATACTTGCAACCCACATTTATCATGCTGTTACTTTTCAACTGGGACAATCCCAAACACATTTTGCTTCCACAGAACAAACAAACCAACAAACCCCAACCTGTTGAGATGTACTTAACAAAGGAGTGAAACTCAGAGCCTAAGTAAGAGAAATTAATTCAACTATAGTGAAAGGTGAAATTAACTGAACTTTTATTAAAATGCAGCACCTGATCATCTACCTAAGCCCATAAGTTTGAAACAGCATGCTTATATAAATTTCATTTCCAGTTGGTGTAAATTATGTAGCATAAGCAGACACAAGTTAAGAACAATTTTTATATGGGAGCCAGATTGCAGTAAAAGTTTAATTTTGGCTATTTTCTGCCCTTTGCACTATTAAATATATTTTCCCTTACATACAAACTTGACTTGAGGACAGAAGAATAATGATACATTAATCATACAAGAAATACAATCTATTAACTCCTTGATTTCTATAAATATGTAAAAATACAAGAGAGTTCATAGTGTTTTTTGAATACAAAATGAAATTTGTGAGAAAGCTAATACTGCTTCCCAAGCCACTCTATTGCCATACCCATCCTTCTGTGGTAGGCCTGATGGTATTTGAGAAATTCGTACATAATGACTTTCAGATAAAAGCACATGCGGTGATCAGGATACTTTCATAGTTCATACACATCAGTTTATGCCACTTTCTCTATTTTCTATGCTTACACAACATGAAGCAATAAATAATCCTTTCTCTCCAAAACCAATTTGGAGATATATTTGGGAAAATACACACACAGAATATGTGTAGACAAGTTGTGAAGAGTTCATCGTTACACAGATGCATTCTGCCAACAGAAGGGCAGTACGGCACACCATTTTAATGTGAAACAACATATACCTGCCATACACTCTACTTTTGACACCAAAGATGTGCACCACAAAAAGCTGCTCTTTCATAAGCTTCCAATACCATAAATTCAGGTAAAACCGATTCATGCTTCAGTGATAACTATACCAAACAAACATTTTAAAATGCACAATGCTTCAGGTGGTGTGCTAAGTTAAAACCTGCATTTTTATATAAAGCATTTATTAAAAATAATTTTGTAAAAATAAGAACGGAGATATCTGTACAGTAGTTGAGCACAAAAGAAACATGCTTTGTAAAATAAACAAGCAAAAATAATAAACATATTTAAAAGCCTATATACAAGTCTGTAGTTGGAATATGATCGTGAATCTGACAGCAATGGCTGCCATTGTACCAATTCCATTGGCTGACTGGATTTTTGATAAAATGCCTGAAATAACATTTGGTAAAGTACTTCTTAAACATTTTATATACCTGTATTGTGTTCTCTGAATTTCTGTATTATAAAATTGAAAACCTTGAATGATAGTCTGACTTTCTATAAGGATTAAACGATACAAAATGAAACAAAAAGCAGTAATGATCAGTATAGATAAAATGTCTGAGCATATATTTGAAACTAATGCATCGGCAAACACAACAGTTTTTTTCTATGGGATTATGAAACGCGGTTCCTCAGATACAATCAGACAGATGCTCTGCATTAGGGTGGATTCTGTATCTATGCTGAAAGACTGGACAAAGCAGACTGTTTTTCTCCTGGGGGCTGCAATTTATTTACACCTTTAAGTATTTCCACATGACTAACACTTTTTATTAACCCCCACCCACCCCCAGCCGAAAAACATCTGGGTAGCAATTTCTATAAAATATACATGGAAACAATATCCTATTTTATTTAGCAACTGTGTTAAGATTCCCAACAGGTTAAGAAAAACCTTCCTAATAGATTAATATTATGGTAACATGAAAAAAAAAATCTTCCAAATTCTTCATTTGAAAACAGAGTGAAGTTTGTGAGGCTTTGGCTTCAGTTTCGTTTCATTAAATAAAAAAGTTGTAGGTACCTCTCTCCATTTTAATTCTTTTAATATCTGGAAGGACCAGCATATTTAGTCAATTTGTGCAGTGATTTGCAACATTTCAAATGTCTGATTTCCAATGTGCTGGGTGCACATTCTAACACTGAATACTTGAATCAGTCATATTAATGTCCTTATTTCAGACTTTATTTGTTGTAGCATATGGATCCTGAAATATCATGTATTAATTGTCTGATTAGAGAGGGCAAAAGGGTCTATAGTTCAGCCTTCAGTCCCACAGTTTAATGAGACCATCCCATCCACAAGTGATCACTTTGGATGTTTCATGTGGGTGCCACACTGCCCCAATGCAGACTTTGTCATGGGCTTTTAATCTACTGTAGAGTTTTGTTGTCTTCCAGTCCCAGATATTTAACTTTCCATCTGCATCACCTGAGGTCACATAGCTATTTCAAAAAAAGAGAAAAAAATTATAGTCGGAGGTCATTTACAAAATAGTTTTTAAACATAACCAATTCAGAACAATAGCATACATTTTAATGAGGAACAGACAGACCTTTCCTATAGTTTTATAGTCTGTAGATTTTCTGCTACTCTTAGCTGCCTTGATGTCCCAATGTATTTGTTAAGATGGGAAAACATGACAATACAGCTGCTTCAAAAATGTAGGACACTTAATCAGAAGTCTTCTCAAATGAGCAGAAAGGCAGTATAGTCACTTAATCCATAATGTCAGATGATCTGTTTTGGCAAACATGTACACAACAAAGCAGGCTACTTAGCTCTGCATGGAGGGTTTAAACTTAATACTGAAAACCAGGTGTAATTCGGATTGTGGAATGCAAAATCATGCATTCATTTACATGAAGCTCACTTTTTTTTCGAAGCAAAAAAAGTATGGGAAGCTTGTATTTTTAACGGTTTCTGATACCACCTTAAAGTAAATGCACACTGGCTGGGATTTTGTCTGATATGGGTTTTCAATTACTGCTTGAAAGGCCTTCTTGGAGTGGAATAACACAACAGCTCTGTGCCTCAAGGCTCGACTCTCTTCCCACTCCCTTTTAATATAAAGCCACTGAATGAGGTGATTTGTCATTATGGGTCTGTGTAGACCATAAGCTGATGATAATACTCCATTATACATCTCCGCCTCCAACTGTTCCAAGTGATACCATTGAAGGAGCATATGGGGAAAAATCAGGCTTCAACTCAAGCCAAAAAAGGCTGAGTAGGTGTGGTTTTAGACTATCCTGAATTTCCATCTTTAATGGGATGGGATGGTATTATCCCCACCACCACCAGACAAAATTGATACACTCAAGGAGCAGGTGGCTGCCATGGTCAGAAGACCTCTACCCAAATCCATCCTGTGTGCCAACTGTGCCCATTCCTGGATCAAGAGTCCCTGCCCCTCAGTCACTTATGCCTTGGTCAGTTTCCACTTGGATTACTGCAATGAGGCCTACATGGGGCTGTCCTTGAAAAGCATCTAGAAACTACAGCTATAATTCTGAATGCTGCAATGTATGCACTGTTGGACACACTATTGTATGCTGATAGGCTGAGTATGCTCCAGATTCTGTCTATCAGGCGGTGCCATTTTGTTCAGGCTAGGAGTTCACACCTTTCCTGTTCTGCGGAACAGCTCCATTCTGAGAATTGGATGCCCCAACCTTACTGACTTTCTGGAGGGCTACGAACATCACTTTGTCCTCAGTGGCTGTGGCCAGGAAGTTTGGCTAGCTGACTAAAGTTATTTGTTAAGATGGATGGCTGGATAAATTTAATAAATAAATACCTCCTACTTTCCCCCTGTATTTCTCATGGTAAATTCAAATGGATATTTTGGCCATCACAGGAATGTCTGAAATTAGCCCATGGGTCATAAAAGGCTGCCCAAATTTTGCAGGATATCCATATAATACAGGGTTTGATAAGCTGCTGTAGCCCAAAGACCAAATCTCAAGTTCATTAATTAGGGTATATGTAGTAGCCCAATAATGTGTATTATATTCTCTTCAACAATTGTCTTAAGGACTTCTATATACATAAAACATTTGACAATAATATGGCGGGTTTATAAACATATCTCTCTCAACCAAAGCCAAACTTGAAAATAAAAATGAAAGTGATATGTAATCTATATTATGTAATAAAAACAGTAGAATACGTACCTCATATCAGGTGAAAAATCTACTTGGCAAGCGTAGCCTGCCACCATATGACCTTTGAAGATTTTCTTTTTGTTTAGCCTGAATCTGTTTTGAGCTCCAAAAATCAAAATCTGATTGTCCATTGATTGACAGGCAAGCCATTTTCCTGTTGAGGTAAAATATTAATGCACACGTGAAGCTCCTACCTCTCATGGATTTTAAGAATGAAACAGTCCTATAACATACAAAAATGTAAGCTACAGAAATGTAAGCTAAGAAATTTGTTTGCCAAGGGCAAAGCCCTGCAATTTTACCAGCTTGATCCCAACATTAGATTTACTAGGATTTTGGCATTGCTGCTTTAATATACAATGTAATGTCAAGAATTCAACTTGCAAATTGACATTCAAAGGAGATATGCACCTTATAGCAAATATGAGTAACGTGAAAATACAAGGAAAAAGTCAACACTGAGACAAGAAAAATTGCTGCCAGAGCAAAAAACATACAAGGGAAATATGGAAATAAGTCTGATAATGGGTACAGGATTACTAGCATTTAAAGTAAAGAATCAAGAAAGCTAGCTTCTATTCTGCCTCAAAACACTTTTTCTTTTTGCTTTTGCCAGATGTTATAGCAGTGTTTAAATACTTGAGCGGCTGTCACGGGGAGGGTGGGGGGGGTCAACCTATTTTCTAAGCACCTGAAGGCCAGACAAGGAATAAGGGATGGAAACTGATCAAGGAGAGATTCAACCAAGAAATAAGGAGAAATTTTTCTGACAGTGAGATCAACCAACCAATGGAACAGCTTGCCTTCAGAGGCTATGGGAGCTTCATCACTAGAAGGCTTCAAGACGAGACTGGACTGCCATCTGTCAGAAATGGTGTAGGGTCTCTTGCTTGGGCATGGGGTTGGACTAGATAACTTACAAGGTCCCTTCCAACTCTGTTGTTCTGTGAGTTCTGTCATCCTCCACAACATTTGCACACTTCAAAACCCAGATAATCTATTTCTGAAATCTTGGATGTTAAATGAAAAATGCTAAATACGATTGCACCTTTTAAAATTGAAATATCCTACATAAGATAGAAATAGAAGCTTACCATTTGGAGATAAAGTCACTGCTGGCATTGAGTGCATACTTGGCTCTGCTATGTACTTAAAATCGACTGGAATGTCCCTACAAAAGTAAAATATATGGATGAAGGCTCCTGCAAATAAAATGTTCTTATATGGAAGGAGAGATGTAGGCTGCAGCATTCCAATATGAACCTGTAATTCTGAAGTACATTTTTTTAAAAAAATTTCGAAGTACAGTTTTACTTACATCTGATATCACTACTAGCATTACTGCCTTCCGTGCCTGGATTACAATCTACAAATATTTTTATGTCTAATGCCACAGCTGGATTATTTAGTGCCTATCACACACAAAACAAAACGGGATCATCTTGATCTTAAAATAAAACAAAACAATAGCTGAATAATTTCTCATAAATATTGCTTGTATGAATTAAATTAATGAAATCTTTAACTCTTGATACTCAGCACTTTCCAGGACTGATGGGGTGTAGAAGAAGCTGAGCTCTAAAGGGTTTCTTTTAAAACAAAACAAACAAATTGGCTACCTTAAGCCTTCAGAAATATATAATATCTTACCAGGGCAAATTAGGAAAATCTGCCATGTTACCACAGAATGATTTGGAGAGAAGAAAATATAGTTCCCCTTAACACGGGATCTGATATCAGTTATGAATGATGACATTAAGCCCTAAAGCTGTATTTCTGCACTGGCTATATGGAGCTCATGAATTCTTACTATTCTTGTTTACCATGATAATGTAAAGATAATGTTTGAATCAGTAGGAGTTTCAAAAATTAAGAGTATCTTTGTTACTTTGGATACAGGTTAAACACCAAGAGTAAGGAAGAATTTTTGTTTACATACCCTAATCTTGATAGGCTGATTCTATAAACCACTTAGACAGTGCCATATATAAGTCTAAGTGCTATTGCTATTAAGAGGTTTCATTCTATATATGGAGATAAGACCATCTCTTAAAAGCATTTAACAAATTCTAGTCAATTAAATCTCTCTCTCTCTCTCTCACACACACACTATATATATATATATTGTACATATGCACCCACATATAAACCTGTTTAGACACAAACACATACAAACACATCCCAAAACATATTTGTCTGCGCTATCTATGTTTTACATTATGTTGTGGTTATCTTAACAATCTTAAATGTGGATTAACCTCCCTTCAAAGGATGGTTTACAATGCTTCTGCTATCAATGTGTATGTTAAAGGAATAAGATATTTCTTATTACACTTTAGTAAATTTCATTTTGTGAATCATCTTGTAGCATCTAAGGCTGTTTTATTTTCATGAACTAAATGTCTTCTGGAAGCTCTTTGAAGAATTTGCTATAGCCAACAGAGATCTCACAATGAAGATTAGCAAATGCAGAAAATATTCATTATATAGCTATATTAACCTTCATAATACTTTCATGCAGCACATTAACGATGAATTATTTGGCATGTACATGATCCCAGAAAGGTTAATTGCACTGGTGGGATTCAGCCAGTTCGTACCAGTTTGGGAGAATCGGTTGTCAACTTTCTGAGCAGTTTGGTGAACTGGTTGTTGGAAGAAATCATTAGGGCATAGAACCGGTTGTTAAATTATTTGAATCCCGCCACTGATTCATTGCGATAATTTTGTCACAGAACCATATAAAATAAAACCAAATGCTGCAGCCTACAGTACAACCAGAAAAACACTTGCACTTTTAAAAAGCCAAATAGAATTATCTGTGATAGAAAAATCATTTCCTTTTATTATGGCCAAAAATTAAAATAAAGAAGTTTGATTTGAGTGCCGGCTTTTATACGCAGCATACCTTTAAAACAATCCAACCAACATTAGAAAAGGCAGATATTCTTTTACCACCCATATCAGTTGAACCCAGATAATCTGCATTCACTAGGCACTTGTTTAGCCAGGTTGTGTACCGAGCATTTTGCTATTCTTTCATTTATTCAGGAGCTTCAGGTCGTGACTATCAAATGAAAACTTACTTGCCACTACAACACATCCATTCTTTATACACTTCTTTGTACATATTACTGAAACAGCTTAACAGAGCTTTGGGGGGGGGGGGGGGGGCGGGGGATTGTTAAAAGGTGATGGAAAAACACCAGGGGGGGCTCTTTCATTAAAGTCAATAGCTAATTAAGGATCGAATCAATTATTGTTCTACAATGGGTCTAAAACTCCCCCTCCCCCAAAGAAAATCCAGTTTGCCTTGATTGACATGATTCTTCTTTTCTCCTTTGAAGTTAAAAACTCTTTGTTGACCACCATTCTGAAATCTCAGATTTAATAATTACATGAGAAAATATATTCTTTGCGGTCACTTTCCACTACTTTCTTTTGCGTTTTCATTTTTTCACTTTTACTGAACAGCAATCTCACTTGTTTTATTTTAGCACCAATACAGGCATACCGAATTACAAAAAAATAAAAATCAAGAATCAGACTTTGAGACCTGAACATGGGCTCAGTTAATGCCTTCCTCTTCAACTATCAGTTGGAGAAGAAAGACTGCAATCCAACCTTGGAAGCTCACTGGATCACAGCTTGCTTTGTGGAGTTGGGGATGCTCCATCATGGGAGGTTTTCACAGAAAAGACTGGACAACCACTTGCCCAGGATGGCATAAGGATTCCTGCTTTGGGCAGGGGGTTGGACTAGAAGATGCTTAAAGTCCCTTACAGCCTTACAATTCTATGGTTTTTCTCAAGAAATAAAGGAACCAGAATAATGCTTTTGACTCGTTTGTTTGGGTTCACTTTCTCTAGTTTTAGGACTTACACGGAGAACAGATATGTCCTATTTATGCAGAAATATTGACAATTTGAAACAGTTCCCAAACTTTTAAGCAACAGTGTAAATATAATAACCTGGGATTTTGAACAGACTAATGGAAAAGTATAGAGAAAATCTGCGGCGATTATTTTTGGGATTTGCCCTGTTACCGTCAAATGCAATCAAACTTATACTTACCATTCCCAGACTCTTAAACTCTTGTCATCCGATGTACTCACAAATCTTCGGTTCTCATCTACAAAAACAATGGTGTTGACAGCCCCCAAATGTCTATCGTATTCCTGAACGATTTCTCCATTTCGAATATCCCACTGCAGGGAAAGACAAGCATGATTTTCCCCCAAATTTTTTTGAACGGAATGATAACCAGCATTTGCAAAATTGTATGGAAATATTCTAAAATATCTATATGTTAGAAAAACCTAACCCAACTTTAAAAAGAACTTTAAAGGTAAATAGCCTATTTGCAACTGCAAGGAATGAAGTTTTGCAAGTTGAGTTGAAACTAGATTGCTCTAAATAAATTAGGAAGTTTTTGGGTTACCTGTACAATTTTCTTATCCGACATTCCTGCTACAAAAAGATTCTGCTTATCTTCATCGGGATTGAATTTGACGCAGTAAGGAACTTTCCTGTTGGTGAATCTTGAAATACACTGTCCTAGAGTGAAAACAGTTGAACAGGAAGATGTTCACAATTTTAGCTTTCAAAGTTTGGTTTTAAGACAGCTGACTGGAATGGCCTACTGGTCTAAAGACTTCCTGAAAAGCAGGAGAAGGGGAATGCATCGGAGTAAAAAGAGACAATTTGTGGGGGCAGTTATAGTGTTTAGAGAAGGTACAGTTTCGGGGTATTGTAACTGTATAAGGAGTAGTAATTTATAAATCACTTGGCAATGCTGAACTAACCTATTATAAGAAGTGACAGCGGTTGACAGAGAAATATTCTTGCCCTGAATAGCAATAGCACTTAGACTTACATGCTGTTTCAATGCTTTACAGCTCTCTCTAAGCAGTTTATAGAGTCAACATACTGCCCCCAACGACAATCTGGGCCGTCATTTTACCAACCTCGGAAGGATGGAAGGCTGAGTCAATCTTCAGCCTGTGAGAATCAAACTGCCAAACTGCTGGCTGCAGTCAGTCAGCAGACGAAGCCTGCAGTACTGCATTCTAACCACTGCACCACCAGGGCTTATCTGTTACTAATTAAGGTGAATATTTCATTACTCAAACTATGTAACTTCATCAATGCTCATGTTTATGTGTGTTAATAAAAAATTAAGGCAGAGGACAAAAATAAACAAACCAGTCAGTAGGAATATCCAGGAAGCAAGCTTATATATTTAGACAAACCATTCGTCTGTCCAGTCTGCAACAATTAGCAATGGACTCTACAGAGTTTAAGAGGAATGTTTCCAAGCTTTGCTTGAACATACTAAACAAAGAACTCCCAAAATGGAATATCTGCTTTTTTATTGAGCTGTAAGTCCGCCTTTTCCATCTCAGCACATGCATATATGACTGATGTGTTTTTATGATATGGAACCATCCTTTAATATATCCTAAAAGTACCTTGCATCATTAAGAGAGCAATGTTGTATCCTGCTTGAAGTTTATCCTTGGAAAAATGCACATCACATAAACAATCTTTCCACACATACAAATACCTGTTTCAGTGTCCCACAGTTTGAGATAGCGGTCATATGCAGCACTGAGGAATTGGTTCCCAGCATTGTTAAAACATATATCCCTAATCGCTTTACTGTGTCCTACAAGATGGAAATCATATCATTAGAATTGCAGAGGACCAGAATTTAAACCTCTAAACAGAACACCAGCATGGTGTATAATTCAACATAGCCTATAAAGAATTTTGAAGTGGCAGAATATGAAGCCTGGATTCAGGCTATGGCTTTATTTATTTCTACTTGCCCTTATTTGTAGATTAGAGACCCCTGTCTAGCATAATGTAGAGACTAGCACTACAAAGAACTGCAAAGAATTACAAACTGGTAACTGTACATATGCCAATTTGTACAAATATGGTTCTCAAATCAGCAGAAAATATGAAGATAAGCATTCGCTTTTGCATGGCCCTCAATAAATTAGGGAATCTATTAGACTTCTTGTCATGGTTCTGACTTCTCAAAATATAATTGCAAAGAAATGAAGCAGGAGATCTATCTCCATCAGTAGTTAATCTGTTCTGTAGGTTCCCTATGTCCAGAAAAAACAAGGCAGAGGATGAGGTGAGAGAATATTTCCGTATAACAGCCTATAGAGTTAACATGGTTTCATTTTCCTTTTGAAGCATTCCCATTTGGAGAACATAGCAAGGAGAGCTAAGTAGTTCGCATATTTAAAAATATCTCACAACTCTCTCTAAAAGTCTGTGGAGAAAAACATGGGTGTTTCTTTTATGAAGAAATCTTTTCATAATTCTTGTTAAGATGAAGACTAGTTATTTAATGATTAGCTCTAGCCCTAACAATATTCATTGATGTAAGATATTTTTATCCTGTTGCTTTAACAGGCCTGGCTGATAATAAATAATTAAAACCACTTTTAAAATAACAATATCCATTTAAAGTCAAAATCAGCATTACAAAACTGAAATATCTTATCTGAAAATCATCCAAATGTCAAGGCTTTGATTTATACCAATGTCATGTGTATTATGTCTTGGTGAAAAAGATATGTAGGAGCAGTAGATGCCAGGTTCAGAAAGAGTAAATTTGTGCTTTCGTGCTCAAATCATGGTGCCTTTTACTTAAGCTCATGAATATGCCCACAACCTCCAAATTTTGGGAAACGTTGGCTTACATAAAGCATAGACATCTCAGTCATGCACATGTACAGTCATTTAAAAAAAATAAGGGTAAATAATATTACCAATGAATGTTCTCAAACATCTTCGTTCACCGTACACTTCCCAGAGCTTTGGGGTGGAGGAAAATACAAATTTAAATAGAATCACACACAGCTGTTATATATACAAAGACTTCATTTTAAAACCAACCCACCTTCAAATATAAACTATTGTACAATTTGTATTCTCAAGCATAGGTAAATTACAGCATCAAATTCCCTTACTGAAATATTTGCAGCTCAGATAAGAAAAGGAGAAGCTGCAGTTATGTACATGATGTTTGCTTTATTAAACAAAAAGGTTCTCTCATCACTAGTAGTACAGTATATACTGCATACCACAGATGTATAATTTGTGTGTACAGTACATATATATAAATAAAAAAGTATAGGGGAAGTGATCAAGGCACATCCTAACTTGATTATGAGAGAGGAGTTTGAGTTGGTCACTCAGAGAATCTTTACTACTGTGAGTTCTGCCACCTATTGTCTGCATCCATGCTCTTACAGATTAGTTAAGAATTCCTGGGAGGTGGCTTGTGGTGATCTAAGAAATGACTAATGTCTCTTTGTGGGAAGGAATGATTCCACCAGCCTTGACAGAGATGGTCAGCCCCCTCAAGAGACCATTCTTGGATTCTAGGAATTTGGAAAGCATTATTCAACCAATTGCTGATGATGAACAGCATCATCAAGAATTAGTGAAGGATATAAGACGGATGAGAGGTTCAAACACACTTTTTTAAAAATAAAATTGTAAGCGGAACTGGGGGGAAATGGACATGGGAGAAACTGAAGGGAAGAGTGAAAATAGAATGAATGCAGGAAAAGTATGTGTCTCACAACCAAATGAATAAAAATGGGCATATGAAAAGATGATAAACAGAAGCTGTATGGAATGGGATGAAATTATGTTACAAAGAACACTAAAATGTGCCAAGTTAATCTACTGGGAAGCATGAAAAAGAATACTTGGCAGAATAAAGTGAGATGGGTTGCGAATGAAAAAGATTATCAATGATTGCCTCAAAAAGTGATGAGAGAAAAATATTATATAATAGAGAGAGAGAAAGACAGCTGCAAAAATATTCAAAAGGAAACAATGGTTAGTATTTTAGAAATCCAACTATTTTCCAGAAATACAGGTATTGTGGGTTAATGCAGAGGATCAATACAGTTATTTTTATACCACAGGATCCAGTTATGCATAACCAACGTTCTCCTCTTTTAACATTGGATATAATGGCTTTGGTTTACCAGTTACAAGATCTGTCCAAAACGTTTAATTAGCTATTGAGTTGTGGAGAAACCCTGACTCTTCACGTATTGAATTATAGGCTACTTTCAAGAATCCTAAGTTATGAAGGATATTGGGAATTGTAATTCAGTAAATCTCCACAACTATGGGTATACCAACGGTTTTAAATGAATGTGTTTCTTACTAAATAAGCACTTAACAGCTCTTAAAAGTTATAATCCTGGATGGCCCTGGCAAAAGCATGACAATTGCTACTGAGTTTACATAAATGAAACCATTAAAGAGCAAATGTAGTCACAACAAAATTAAAGCAGAGATAGTATACGCTTTGAATCCATTTACCTTAATTTTACAGTCCATGGAGCAAGATAAGAGCAGATGGCCGGAAAGAGGAAATAGCCTGACGGCACTGACTCCCTTAAACAAAAACGTAACTATGAATATGTATGCATTTTCCATTTTAAAATTTGTATTTCAGTACCATATATGATTTACAGGTGCTTCTAGTACCACTGAGTTTTGGTGCCCAAAGCACAGCAACAATTCTACATCTCCCAAGATGCACCAATGACTAGGCTTTGATTTGGTTTTGTCTTCTAATTTTCAAGGCCAATATATTATGACTGCTGTATATTCTAAAGTTTGGGCAGTTTTGGATAAACCCCTTTTCTAACATACTGGAAAACTGCAGTTACTCAAGGCTAACAAATTAAAAGCTCCTATAAATCACAAAATGTGCATGAATTCAAATCACAACAATACTTTTAATTTTACAAAAAGAAGAATTAATGCCAAGATAGAAATGTATATGGTCACATTTCATGGAAAAAGCTTGACAGTCTACTTAGACAATTTCATATCCACAATCTGAACATAGTAGTTTCCCACACTATTAACAAACCAATATTAATATGCAATGAAAGATGCTAATACTTAAGATGAGCATTGAGATACTGCAATTCAAATGCAGCTATGTTTCCATGAAAAGAGGTCTTCCCTTCAGCTAGGGAAAGAGGTTTGCTACTCTGTCATATGGCTGGCCTAGTTATTACATTATTTTGAGAACTTCCATACTTCCTGTAAACATGGCCATGCAATAATGGGAGATTTTTCAGGCAAAAATGGAAGATTTTTGACCCACAGAAAATAGTGGGATAAGTTAGGTTTGGAATGTATACCTTGAAACTTGCTGTGAACTCATCAAAATTCTCCCACAAGCACACAAAAGACTTTATAACCCACAGCTTTAATGCCTGGCATTTTCCCCAAGTCTTCATATTATTAACACGTACCCATGAATGAGCTTCCATGAATGAGCAGCAATTCAAGACTAGATCTCTAAGGCCAATGGTTTTAAAATATAGATGTAAAAAATACTTTGATTCTGAAGTGATTTGTTTTTCAGTCTGAAACAGCTGCTTTGAGTTAAAAATAGCTTGTTTTGATTATTCTGCAAGTGTTTTGAGATTAAAACATCTGTTTCCAATTCGAAACAGAACTGTTTCAAGCTCAAATTACTTCCAGAGTGGTTGAAACAACTTATTTTAAATGTAAAATAGTATCTGTATTTTAAAAGCAACTTATATGGGAGAGTAGTGATAACTAGAAGAGATAGGCTAGAAATTCAGAATAAAATTGACATATAGTAATAAAATTTGTCTAGGAATATCCTGTGCAATTTCCCCCCAACATTTTGAAATTCTGGTGAATTTGGAATGGGCTTAATGCAATTATAATCAATGAAAGGAATGCAAGGACACAAAAGAGGAAAATATATCTTTCAGGTGTTCCTTACCTTTGTATGACCTGACCATACATGGATTTGTTTCTTAGGAAGGTAACATTTTTCAGGGGGCACTGTCGAACGTAGGTTAACACCAACATCCTGAGGAACATGAAGATAAGACCTCCCTTGATAGTCATACATTTCTTTGACTGAAAGAAAAAATATAAATCAATTAATAGAAAATAGAAAATTCACACTATCAGAGAAATAAAAGACTAATTCAATGTTAAAGTGGCTCTGATTAAAATGAAGTGCATCCCAAACACTGGCCCCTCAATTCAATTTATTTGGGTTGCTTCTTTTAATACTGATAAATATTTAGCTCAAATGCAGTTTGTTTCTATCCGTCAGCTGTCTGAGCATATTTGTATTCATCTGTCCACTCAGTGAGATCAAGTCTCTTCAGGTCCTGTCCCTCTGTTTGGTACTTGGAAGCAGGCGTTCTCATTATTCAGATCCCTCTTTGGAACCCCTTCCTAGCAGAGGTCAAGTCAGACATTGGGCATGATGACTGCTGAAAATCAGCCACTTCTGCCTCAGATCAGGAAAGAGCAAGTGGTAACTGAAGGTGGGATCTGTTTTACTTCACTTTTCAGTTTTAAAATCTTACTTGGTTTCATCATTTTGTATGTATACTTGAAATTTCAGATTGTTTTAATGTTAATTCTGTTAACTGCCCTGAGTCATTGTGAGAAGGAGAGACTTAGAAGCAAAATGAATACATAAATAAGTTCACTGAGACCTTAATAAATAGATGACTAACATGATTTGACAAAAAGTTTAGATTTATGGCAGGATAGGCATGCACATTTAAAAAAAACCATGCTGTAATTTAAAAATAATCTTTGTGATATATATATACATGTGGCACCCCTCTTGTCTTGGAGGACATTCCATACGAATGAATGAATGAAATCAAATGAATGAAAATATATAGATATATATGAAAATAGATATATATGAAAAATATATATTTTATATATTTCAAGTTGATTTGTAATATTGGAAAGAGTGTTCCACTGAGTGGAAAAGGCAGTCATAAGAAAAAAAAAAACCAAAATCCTGATGACATGCATAAATCCTAGGATGATAACTAGTAGAACTGGTTGCAGAAAGAGAAAGAAGCATTACATCTAGAAAGATTATGATGTAAGGAGAGGAAACAGCAAAAGCTTTTCTCCACATTGCTAGATGTTTTTCACATCAACATCATCACTTCAAACTTTAACAGCAAAAGCTATGAGTTTTAATTACATTATTTCTTTGGAAGAATAGTAAGATTAACTGATGTTAAATATTTTCTTCTCCTCCTCTAAGGGAATCTCTATATTGAGTCTGGTATTCATGGGAGAGAAGTGCAAATTGTGGACTGTACTCACTTAAGTAGTTTATCAATAAATTCTTATTTTTTCTCAGCTGCTAAAAATTTTTTAAATTGTTTTTATGAATGTTGCCACCCTGAATCACTTGTCCGAAATGGGTGACTAGAAAAATTTAATAAATAAAAATACATAGATTAAAAAAAACCTTAAAAATATAAAGATCCAGGTGCCTATAGAAATTATATCAAAAGAAGTTTGCAAATTAAAAACCAAAGAGCTAACATTTGAGATGAGTATTCAAGCAAATGACATTTCCAGAGTGTTCCCAATAGTTCAATAGGCCACATCTTACGTTTAACTGCAAGTTGAATTTTTTTCTTGTGTTACAATAAACAGAAAGCAATTGCTAAGCTTATTTCTTATTTGATTACACATATACACCTACATAAACAGAAGCATCCACTCTGCACTGACTTCTAGCTATGACATATTAGTTCAAAGATTACAGATATGGTATTATCTTTAATAGTGATACAGTGGAAAGTTGATGACAGAAATGCAGATTAATTGCCAGTAGTATCACTTACCATGCAAAACTGTCTTTTCTTCTCCAGGTTTATCATCTTCATGTTTGCCCTTCTTCTGCCTTTTTGCAGTTATTTCATCCAGTTCCCTCTGTTCTTCCTAAATTGCCAAAATATTAAAAATTACAACCCTTACTTCTACAGCAAAGTATAGAATTATTTATCTTCAATGAGTTCTAATAAAATAAGAAATGATATCTGAAATCATTGCTTTAAGTAAAATTCAGGAAATTACATTATGAACAAGTTGATTTTACATACATGCTCTACACGCATACCCACACCCACAGTTGTTATGTGTCTGCACATACTTCAGTACTAGCCATAGATAGGGTCACTCCACATATGGTCCAGATAGAAAATGGACTGATTTTATAGTATTTGATAAAATACACATTCTCTTGCAAACTTGGATTGTAGTGTCTCCCTTCCTCCTTCTCCCTCTGTAATCAGATTCAGATTCCTTGGAAATTGTCTCCCCATTGGAAGATCTATCTTAGACCTCAGAGACTTTAGATATTCTACCTTCTACTTATTACTTTGAGATGAACCCACTTTCCTTGGTAAATATGTTTATTTTTACCCCCTTGTATGATGCATAGGAACTATAAAGAAAATGTGGTTAGTTATGCTCCTTCTCTTACTTGGTGTCTTTGATAGCAGTTGCACCACAGAGAGTGTATAATAGTGCTTTCTGCTTTGAAGAGACTGGAAAGGGTGTTTGTCAAAAATATCAACATTAAAACATTCTGAAGAACAGCATCAAATATATTTGTGTGGCTGAATATGTGAATTGTCTTCTGTGTCTTTAGAAAACAAAATTTCTTTGCTTCATTTTCAGCCAAAAAAAAAAAAAGATTTAGAAATTTATCTGATGATATATTTTCTATGTTTTGCTACTTGTGTCCTAGATATACAGCTCAAGATTTCAATTATAATACAGATATGGAGATTTTGTATATCAATGTCAAAAAACCAACTATAGTTTAAAGTAGTGTCAGTAGTCTGAGCAGAGCTGTCTGTTTTAGTAAGTGACATCTTGATGCTCTGTAATTTAAGGAATTACTTTTCAAAAGCCATCTGCATGATTTATACCATGTAAGCTGTTTTTTACTGATTCCAGAATATCAGAGTAGCATATTGTGTAATGAATAAACACTTTTTAAAAATCAGTGTTTAGGAAACCTAGTACTATTCACATATTTTAGACTTTAACTCCCATCTGCTGGACAAAGGCAAGCAACTGAATCATGGGGCGTAGCACCACATTTCTATCCAGAATTAGAACTCCTCTCCCATTTAAAACACAAGGAGTACAACTACATATATAAACAAATGGGTGAGACAATATAAAGAGAATGACTTCCTCATCCCGGTCTTTATACTTGCAAACAAAAATAAACAAAGGGTACTCACTTCAGAAGGTTTTGCAACCTCCTTTTCATCAACATATTTTGCCCAAGGTCCCAAGAAGCCATCTATATTAGATGCATCATTCTCTTTGAATTTTTTCCTTTTCTCTATTTTCTTTTGTCCTGTTTCAAACACTGTTAAACCTATGACACAATAGCAAAAGATTATGTCCAGATTTGAATGCAATTCTTACTTTGAGGATGACAGAAGAGTCTTCTGCCTCCTAAAATATCAATTGATGCTTTCATACAAAATCAAGTTTGGACAGCATGTTTATCACAATCCATTTCATGCTCATACATAGCCAATAAACTCCAAATAGTTTTGCTAAGGTTTGTGACTATGACGTTTATAACATACACTTCTACACTAAGCTCTTGTTGTGGCCTGTCAGCCACCGACCCCTCCAGCAGCCGAATTAGAGGAAGAGGAGGAGGTGGGGGAATCAGGGTCAGCTACAGGGCAACCTAGGAGCTCCGAGGGGGAAGAGGGAATGGAGCTGGCAGAGAGAGAGAGAGAGAGACAGAGGCGGAGCCTGGGCCATCCATCAGCCCTCAGATGGAGAGTCAACGGCCCCCAGGTCTGGAGGTAGTTGATGAAGAAGAGGAGGAAGAGTTGGGTCCAGTGCTTGATACGTGGCTGCGCAGAAGGCAGAGAAGAGGAGAGCACTGGAAAGCCATGGGCCGGATCCTGGGGAAGGAAGAGCCACCATTGCCTAGCGAGGCCCCACCCTAGCTCTGGGGATAAAAGGCAGGGGGCAAAGATGAATAGGTGTGGCAGACAACTATTCATCTTCCAGCTGGATGGATTGTTAGCCTATGAGAGAAACTTTTTGCCGGCATTCCTAATAAAAGAACCTTTTGAGCTCACGTCAGAGGGTTTGTCATGTTTGGGGATCTGGGTCAGAACAGCTCTGCTATGATTAGGTTCCATATTAGTTTTCTCCTTGTAGCACATTCATCGCATTCAGAGATAACTGAATAAAGATTCTTAGAAAAGAAAAATAACTACCTGCAACTCAATACTTACTTTAGAAATGTTATCACTTGTCCAGAAAACAAAGATAAGTTAAGAAGAGGTGCTAGAGGTGACAGTTAATCCCCATCCTAAAATACTTTTTGAAGGCACCCATGATGTTCTTCAAAATTTTAATATGCATCGGAACCACTCAAGTCACAAACCCATGCCGTGAACATGTTTTCTCATCCATCAAACAGTGACAGTTCATCCAACACTTAATTGTTAGTTTGTGAATGCAAGAATACAGAACAAAAGATAATAATGAAATCAAGAATGAAAATCATATTTGGTGTTCCTTTACCTTGATTTTTTTCTGCTTCTTCTACGGATCCAATATATTTAGTAGATACTTCATAATTGTCTATGGAAGGATCTAGTGCATATCCTGGGGGATCAAATCATTTGAAAGTCATTTTTCGTAAAGTATTTGTATTGTCACAATTTTAATTTATATTATCAAGTTCACAAAAAAGTTTGTCCTTGGCTCACATCCAACACATTTAACAAAAATCGTTATACATTAATTATCAATAGATCTATAGTATTATAGCAACAAAATATATCTGTATTATAACGACAAAAGCTTAGAAAATTCTTCTAAGCTTTTGTTGCTATAATACTATAATCAAGGACAATTATAATTATTTTGCATATGGGATGCATAAATGCAGAACCATATACTGTATAACTGCCTTTCTGTTGATATCTGAGTAAGCTATATATTCAGTCTTTTACATTGTATGGCCACTGAAGCAGAAAGGTTCAGATCAATCTAGAGAATTCAAAAAGCCTATAAAACCACTGATTGTATTTGAAGAAATAGCATTTCAGCCTTGTATATTTATACATAATGTATATTTAATTATATACACTACAATATATGTAATTCTTTTTTATTTTTAGTAATTTAACACCAACTTTATTCCAAGGTTAAATTAGGGTTAGTAACTAACAAAAGCAGACAGAATAACTATGCTTGAAATACTTTTTATGTTAAACCTTGTAATCTTTTGATGTTAAGAATCTATAATATAATAATATTCTAGACTAGAGACCTATTTATTTAAGATGATAGATGACAGGTATGTCCCTTGGATTCTGAGATATCTCTTGCACTTCAAATGTTTCAAAAGTAAGGAGATTTCCATGGTGATTGAATGATTGAAAGAAAAAAAATGGCAGCAATATTACTGGTATTGCACGATTGAACAAAATACCTGTTTCGTCTTAAAAATGCTTACAAATAAAAAAATGGCAGGATTCCAATCACAATCAGCTATTCACATTGCAAAGTGTGAATTGTAACATTAATCAAATGTAAGGAATCATGCCACCAGACTGATGTACCTTCCCCCTCCTGTCAGTACACATTTAAACAGAAATACCATTTTCAGTGGTTAGGTATTGCTTCAGAGTACGAATCACGGTTAACATGAAATCAAGATTGAATCTTTTGCCATTCCTCTTCATACCCCTTATACAGTTGGAGGAGCTTTCTTTGAATGATTTTTAAACTAACTATCCATTTAACTGTCATTATATCCATTCTACATTAATTGACTGACTAATCATGAGATACATGCAAGTGGGATAATTGAAAAAAAGCTGAAGAATGACAAAAAGAAGTCAGTATGTGCTTCATTTTTTTTGGAGAAGCCTTTGGATTGTATCAATCACATCAAGCTGTAGAATGCACTCAGGAAAATGGTAATCTCACTGCCCTCATTGAATACAAGTCAGAAAGCCATAGTCCAGCAGAACATGGGGAAACAGATTGGCTGCAGGAGTGCAGCAAGACTGCATACTTTCCTCTTATTCTTTCAACATGTATGCAGAATATTTATCAGGGAAAGCAGGATTGGAAGAAGAATCTGGTTTAAAAATTGGAGGGAAAAAACATCAAAAACTTTTTCCATGCTAATGACACTAACTTGAGAGCCAAAAAGTGCAAAGGATCTTTAAGACTAATATTGAAAGTCAAAAGACTCAGTGAAAAAATAGAAGTAAAATTAAATATAAACAAGAACAAATTAATGACAACAGATGTTTTAGGATTGAGAATAAAAATATCTGGTGGTTATACGTCCAAGAAAGGTTCTGCATAAATGTTCACGCAGAACATTTATGAACATAACTCAATGCGCAAACCAGGTATATTGTTTTGCAACCTATTAGGTTCTCATTTAAAAAAATAATAATAATCTAAACAAAAATAAGATGGGCCACTGAACCTGGTGGATTCAAAAAGCATTGTCATCAAGCACCTTAGTGCTTCAAATGCCATGCTGGAAACCAGGATTTATTCCAACAAAAGTCAAACTCAGGAGAACAACAATCTAGCCAGTCTTTCCTCTTAATAGTAGAACCCTGTTTCACTGTATAATTAAACAGAGAACAGAACAAGAGTGGGGATTTCTTTTTGGCTCTTCAAAAACCAAAAATACTGTCTATACGACAGTACAGAATTGCTCAATCGTAAGTGGTATTACATTCTTTCTGACACACTTAGCTTGTACTGCTGAAAATCGTAAGTGGTATTACATTCTTTCTGACACACTCAGCTTGTACTGCTGAAATTTGTAGTAATAGACAAGATAGCTGATGGCTGGCAATTTAAACTTATGAGAATAGGTGGGAATATAAAACAGGATGTACATGGGATTGCAAACTACTCCAATTTGCATCTCCACAAATGGCCTCCAGTGAAATCTGGCCATGTTGGTAAGTTGATTCCAAGATTTTAAGGACAGAAATTAGAATGGTTTGCTTCTTGGATGTTTCTCATTCTGATTCACCCCCAGTTAACAATGGGCTAAAATGCAGCCTTGCTTCTTCTTCTGACATCCCTACCTTATTAGTGACTTCAATAATGAACTTCCTATCAATCAGGCCAAAACTGAAACCTCTGGTTCTGGGAGAAAAAAAAGCCTGCTCTTGCTCCTATCATCATCTGTCAACAGAAATCTTACAAACTGAATTTCCTCAACAAGTATCACCTTCCTGTCTTTGGAATAGCAAATACAAGCAATTTTATTTGCTATCCAGTAATCTTCTTTCAATGGCTTATAATAATTTCTGTCTGAATACGTAATTGTCAAAGCATGCTCTGATGCTCTCCGAGATAAATTAACACACTCACAAATAGCAAAGTGCAAAAAAAACGGCAAAATTGAAGCTCAGATGTCTTTTCCTTCTCTGTCTACAATCTACAATATTTTATTTTACAATCAATAGTGCTCCACAAAGATAGGCCTGGAAGACAGCCCAGGATTTGGGTGAATCAAATGTATTAGTTCCTGCTGTTTCTTGCTGCCAACACTCTAGGTTATTTTATTAGATTGATGTAGCTGAACAATGATGCCTTTGTACCATTCTTGCAACATTTAGGTAGGAGCACATTCCTGCGCAGAGAAGCTTGGATTCTTGGAGACAGAGGAGATGCCTTCTCTAACTCCCAGCATTTGGCAAATTCTTTTACCGTCAGTGTACATGGAGATATTCTTTGCTACTGCTGAAAACTGAGAAAACAAATTGCTAGACTATTGCTTAGTTTGTTTCCAGAGTTATATTCAACTGTTTACCTCTAGAAAATATCAATCTTAATGTAAGTAGTATGTAAATATACGTTTGAGAAACATTTTAAAACACATATACAGATAGAACACACACATTCTACACAATCTGCTGCTCTTTCTCTTTCATTTGCAAACATCACATTAAAATGAATGCTAAAATGTTTCAAGCTTCACAGGTAATCAACTTGGGTTGATTTATTTATTATACAGAATAGTAAAACTGCTCCAAAGGAGAAAAAGGAAATTCTCCAAAATGAATTAGGCATCTTTCTTTTCAAGATATATTTGAGGTTTCTACATATTTCCTATATATTTTCTCAATTGATATCATAGGTTTCAGAGAATGGGCCTTCTTCTCTATCTCCATACTAGTTAAAAGCCTGTCTTTCAGAAGACTATAATTTCCTCAGTTCAACAGGGAATGTATTCCAAAGCTTAAGATCAGCTAAAGGGAAAGTTTGACTCCCATTCATTTTGTGGGTATCTATTATGGAAAATATCTTGTAGAATTCATGGCTTGCATTCTAGGTCCAGGGTCAGTCCATAGCATTGCCTGGAGATAGAGAGGAAGGCCTATTCTCTGAAACCTATGATATCAATTGAGAAAATATATAGGAAATATGTAGAAACCTCAAATATATCTTGAAAAGAAAGATGCCTAATTCATTTTGGTGAATTTCCTTTGAGGAACTATATAACTAAAATTAATATTGTAAAAGCTTTTTAAAAAGGTGAATAGGAAATTCAATTAAATAAACAATTTAAGCCTAAATGTTTTCTGAAATTTTCAAATTAAAAACAAAGTCTTTTGACACTTACTACTTGCCAGAAAGACCAATGGCAGATGGACCCAATTTATTTTTAAAGCTTTGAAAGTTCTGAGAGGTTTGGAGGTATATTAGAGCACGGCATTAATAAGCATAACAATTTTAAACTGGTTCAAGTATAAAGACACGCACACACACACACACACATTACCATAAGTTGCAAATGTTCTCCTCTGTTGTTCAAACATGAAATCATTAATATGTGCTGGTTCCGTATATCCAGAAAGCATGTTCCTGGGAGCGGCCATCTGTTGAGTTCTAAATGGATTGACTGGCCCAAACTGTGTAAAAATGGTACAATAAAATGCTTAATAAGATTTGCTCCATTAATAGCATTTTATTTAAAAAATATCCATATTGAAATTGAAGATAATGGTGTCTTATCTTTCATTCAAAGAATTCTGCACAGCATACATTAGTCTATCCTCACAACAATTCAATAAAGTTAGGTCAGAAGAATGATTGCCTAAGATCATTACTGAACCTTCACAAGTGGGCATTTGAACCTCAGATTCAATAACTGTAATGTAACATACTACCACAATCTGAAATTTTGTAGACAGTGGGTTAGCAGTTTCCAGGCATTACTGAACTGAATAATCAGCAACGTCAGTGGATTTTTCCATTGGTCATAGAAGATGTGACATTTAGTCTGTTATCAGAAGGCTCACCATTGCCTATCCTGCTAAGGTTTAGTATGGAAAAGACACACATCTATTTGTGTATCTATTAATGTGAGGATCAAAACCGAATCTTTGCAATGGTTTCCAAATTTATATAGAGAAATCTGCCACCTCACATAAGCAAAATTGTTACATATTCATATTGGTATGTGATTGGTATGATTTATATAGTGTAATGATGACTGCTAAATAATGAACGATGAAAGTAGAAATGGAGTCAATAATCTCACTTTCAGAATTCTTACAGTACAATATGCAAAATTATATTAATAGCCACAACTCAATAATAAGATTTTTCCCTCATTTTGAGACTTTTTATCCAAAATAGCAGCATCAAGAAAATTAAACTGCAGGTAGATGCAAGGCATTCCATTCACTCAAATAAAGTTAAAAGGATTGAAAGCATAGAAGACCAGAAATTCCCCATCCAATTTATTCTTAACCATTCTGTAGCATGAGAGTTGTTAAATATTATCCCTAGTACACCCCACGTTCTGTAACAATGTTAGAGAAATTGAAGTACTTTATAGCTGAATATAATTGCTATGGAGCCAAGGAGAAATTCATTGTATGCTATCCATGGGCTATCTCAGAGTTTTATTCTCTGTGGGTTTCCTATTTCTGCCTCAATAGGATGGTCAGAATCAAGATGGCTGTGCTGCCTTCTGTACCGTACTGTGATTTTTTTTTCCACATTAGCTAAGTAAAAATTCTGCTGAAAGCTTCAACTGATTTTTTTTCTGTGAACCATGCTGAGATAACACAGTTTACAATACCTCCAACCTTGATGGTGATAAGATCACTGCAAGAGAAGCAGAACCTGCAGAAGTCACCACATTCCCTTAGGCATCGGTGGCTGAGAGCAATTTAGATTTCCATTCTTCCACAATCTGAATCCAACCCTATCAGACTTCAGTTTTATTTAACTGATTGCACTGTAATGTTTAGATTGCAAGTTATCTTCATGTCAGAGCTAAGATACTACATTCAATTTTACTTTCCATTTTTGCAATGGCAATCTTTATACTATTCTATCCCTATTGTGTGCCTCTAAATCAGTTCTGGAAAGCCCTTTATCCACCAGAGACAGGCATATATGTCTGCAGATAAGAATCTGGTTTTAATATATTCCATTCTACTAAAGCTGTGCACAGTTTCGAGGGAGGAATTCGGTGAGAAAAGCTGGCAATAACAGAGTACAAAATGATCAGATGAAAGGTATATATTCCTCATAAATTAACTGCAGCTATTAATATAAGGCTGTTATTCTAGCCGCAGAGATGCCCACTATATGAATCTTGAGCCATTTGACAAAAAAGTCAAAACTGCAATACTTAATGAGATTCATTTCATGTATTATTTCCTCATCCTCTCGAATCGTTCTCCTGCTCACTCATGTTTAAATCTAAGATCAAACTAATCAAGTAATAAATATTCTTAACCAGCAAAAATTATAGCTATTTTTTGAACATTTACAATATATGTTTTCACACTGTTTACTCTTGGGAATGCAGATCACCAATATCACAAAAAAATGCATTAAGCGTACAAAAAATAACCTTTTGAGTTTTGATAGCCATGTTTTCACAGCTGATAGCTGTTTACATTGAGACAAATGAAAATGTATACAGTCTTCACTTACAGCCATAACTTGCCCAGAATGAAGGTTGTGCTGGTGGTTAAATGAGTCATCATGTGACGATGTCCAATTTTATGATCTTTTATGTGGCGATCATTAAGTAAATTCAGTAGTTGTTAAGCAAACCCTTTGTCCATAAGTAAACAATGTCACAAATCCCATTCATTTGACTGCAGGACACTGCAAATGGCCATAAAATGCAATCATGTGACTGCACTCCCATCCCGGGTGTCAGAACTTCGAATCCCATTAACAAGTACCTTTTGGGGGGTCCACCATAATTTCAAACCATCACTAAGCGACTGGTTATAAGTCAAGGGTCATCTACACTTATAGTACCTGCTTTTTCCTGGAGATTTTTTTCTGAGGAATATTCAATTTTATGATTTTTTTTTTAAAATAACCTAGGTATTTTAGAGATTTTACAAAGTAGAAATTTGTATTCATGTGCATCATACTTTTAATTGAACTTTAAAAATGCCTGTTTATTTTTTTTAGAATTTAAGAAGAAAAAGGATTGCAAATATAAGGAATACTGCTGTTTTTTGCCTGTAAATATTATTTATTACAGACAACTATAATTACAAAAATATGGCATTTATGAAACTCATAAAAACACATTAAATATGGACAAGACACATATCTTCAATGCATCAGTTCAGTACAATTCCTAATTGATCATGCCAAAACTCCTTGAGAATTAACACTGCTTTCTTGTCTTTTGATAAAATTAGCATTCTTCAAGAGTACAGATCTAGCATTTAATCGATAAAAAGATAAAGATAAAAAAAGAGAGTCCCCAATACCCCACTTACTGTGTAATTTCACAAATGCAAGAGAAAGAAGTAAAAGTAACATCTGGCTATGAGATTACAAAGCTATGAATAAGATCATTCTTTTCCCCACATTTTGCTTACTATTTCCAAGTGAAAAGTCAAATAACTAGAGTATTATAAACAGACCAGATGTATTTTATATACACGAACTCCATTATTTAGCTTTATTATTTCCAGTTTTAAGGAACTGTATTGTACAAAACAAGAAACAAATAAAATCTGTAAAAGAACAGTCTCAGGGGAGATATGGTAGCAATTTTTAGATATCTAAAAGTCTGCTATACATAGGAGGAATACACTTGTCCTTTGTTGCTCCAAAAAGGGTAGTACCAATCCAATGGACTGAAACCACAGAGAAGTAGATTCAAATTAGATACAGGTGAAACTCGAAAAATTAGAATATTGTGCAAAAGTTCATTTATTTCAGTAATGCAACTTAAAAGGTGAAATATATGAGATAGACTCATTACATGAAAAGCAAGATAGTTCAAGCCTTGATTTGTCATAATTGAGATGATTAGGGCTTACAGCTCATGAAAAACCCCGAATCCACAATCTCAGAAAATTAGAATATTGTGAAAAGGTTCAATATTCTAGGCTCAAAATGTCCCACTCTAATCAGCTAATCGAGCCATAACACCTGCAAAGGGTTCCTGAGCCTTTAAATGGTCTCTCAGTCTGGTTCAGTTGGAATCACAATCATGGGAAAGACTGCTGACCTGACAGTTGTGCAGAAAACCATCATTGACATCCTCCATAAGGAGGGAAAGCCTCCTAATTGCAAAAGAAGTTGGATGTTCCCAAAGTGCTGTATCAAAGCACTTTAAGAGAAAGTTATGTGGAAAGGAAAAGTGTGGAAGAAAAAGATACACAAGCAGCAGGGATGACCGCAGCCTGGAGAGGATTGTCAGGAAAAGGCCATTCAAAAATGTTGGGGACTTTGACAAGGAGTGGACTGAGGCTGGAGTCAGTGCATCAACAGCCACCACACACAGACGGATCCTGGATATGGGCTTCAAATGGCGTATTGCTCTTGTCAAGCCGCTCCTGACAACAAACAATGTCAGAAGCGTCTTACCTGGGCTAAACAAAAAAAGAACTGGTCTGTTGCTCTGACAAAGACCTCTTTTCTGATGAGAGCAACTTTTGCATCTCATTTGGGAACCAAGGACCCAGAGTCTGGAGGAAGAATGGAGAGGCACACACTGCAAGATGCTTGAAGTCCAGTGTGAAGTTTCCACAGTCTGTGTTGATTTGGGGAGCCATGTCATCTGCTGGTGTTGGTTCAGTGTGCTTCATTAAGTCCAGGGTCAACGCAGCCGTCTACCAGGAGATTTTGGAGCACTTCATGCTTCCTTCCACAGATGAGCTTTATGGGGATGCTGATTTCATTTTCCAGCAGGACTTGGCACCTGCCCACACTGCCAAAAGCACCAAAACCTGGTTCAATGATGGTGGGATTACTGTGCTTGACTGGCCAGCAAACTCGCCTGACCTGAACCCCATAGAGAAGCTATGGGGCATTGCCAAGAGAAAGATAAGAGACATGAGACCGAACAATGCAGAAGAGCTGAAGGCCGCTATTGAAGCATCTTGATCTTCCATAACACCTCAGCAGTGCCACAGGTTGATAGCTTCCATGCCACACTGCACTGAGGCAGTAATTGCTGCAAAAAGGACCCAAACCTAGTACTGAGTACATATGCATGCTTATACTTTCAGAGGACCGATATTGTTCTATGTACAATCCTTGTTTTATTGATTGCATGTAATATTGTAATTTTCTGAGATTGTGAATTTGGTGTTTTCATGAGCTGTAAACCATAATCATCTCATTTATGACAAATCACGGCTTGAACTATCTTGCTTTGCATGTAATGAGTCTATCTCATATATTAGTTTCACCTTTTAAGTTGCATTACTGAAATAAATGAACTTTTGCACGGTATTCCAATTTTTCGAGTTTCACCTATATTGCGAGAAATTTCCTTGATAGTAAGGTGTCAAAGAATAGGTTGCCTGAATATGTGGCGTTATCTGTCACTGGGGATTTTGAAACAGAGGCTGGATTGCTGTCCAAAGTGCTTAAGAATCTTACACCAAGCAGGGATTTGGACTGGATGATTTCTTAGGTACCTTTCAACTATATGCTTTTATGAAATGTTTTTCTATTCTAATTAGCTGAAATCTGAATTTTTTGTTAGAAAAAAAATATTTTTAGGAGATTTTCCAATTTCATAGTTCAAGCTCTTTATTATATACTGTAATTTTTATTATTCATTTTGGTGTAGCATTTAGTGTATTGAATAGCTATAAAAAAGTTATGTCCTAATTTCCAGCCCCAATTTTATACTTTTTCAACTACCTTTTAGTTGAAGAAGGTATCAATATACTTAAATACAATAGGTGATGTTGCAATGTATATAATTTAATAATCAACAGTAATTTACCACATCATACTGAATATTAGCTAATACTATCAAGTTTAAGAAGCCATAATTCATCTCTACACTGTGTTGCTGCGATTGTAGCTAAAATACTGTGTCTAATTCTGCCCACTGCATTTTTATAAAAGGCAGACAAACTGTATCATGCCTAAAGGACAGGTGATAAGGAGCTAGAAAGAAAACGTATAAGAACAGTTGTAGCTATGGATATGGAGAAGAGAAGAATGGGATAGGGGGAGAGACATGACAATGTCTTTGATTATCTGAACAACTGTCATGTAGAAGATGGAGCAGAATTGTTCAGAGTAGCTTCAGAAACCAGGAAAGGATAAATGGGTTTAAACGGCACAGGAGTGGATTTTGGTTAGACACCCCCAAAATACTAATGGTCAGAGCCTTTAAACCAGGGACCTTTAAACTTGACAGCTTTAAGACTTGTGGACTTCAACTCCCAGAATTCCTCCTCCAGTCATGTTAGCTCAGGAATTCTGGGAGTTGAAGTCCACAAGTCTTAAACTTGCCAAGTTTGAAACCCTTGCTTTAAACAATGAAATACTCTGAAGATGGTGGGCTGAATAATAGGATACAACAGCAAATTCCTTCACTGGGCAGGATTGGACTAGATGATCTCCAGATCCTCTTGTAACCTTTACTTCTATGATTTTATGATAAATTGAAAGCAATTCACATTTAAAGCCAATTTACTTACCTCTGGTGCAAACATGGTGTCATACTTTGGATTATATTGAACTTCCTTGGTGGTTGGATCAAGATGAACCCCGGTTTCCACATCTTCCTAGAAAATTAAACATAGTTGTAATGGACATATTTTCCAAACCGTACATCTTCTATATTAGCCTGATTAGAAAATTATATTTCAAGTTCCCTAAGATCTTACATTATTTTGGGATATGGCACCATCAGAGCAACTTTTATATAAACTTCCTATAAAACTGGCATCTGAAAAATGTTTTATATTTTCTTTTTGCAGTAGGACTTTCCTAGGTTAGGATAACAGATTATTCATCATTGGCTACCTGCCAATAGATATATTCACTCAAGGTTGAATTGTGGACTCTTTAGTGCTGCTCTCTGAACTTACCATAGTTAACTGAATCATACCATAACTATATCATACTTTTTAACTAACTTAACTATAGTTTTGATTGGAAAACCATGAGCATCTGAGACCAAATTAAATCTAAAAATGCTCGGGAATTCTTGGAACCTTAGGGGTCCCATCAACAGGTACACAGTGAAACAACAGACACAGCTTTTTGGATGAGAAGTGAAATGTCTTTAAAGAAAAACCAGAAAGTCCAGTTGCCTCTTGAAAAAAGCACCTTTGGGAAACCATGACCTGGATGACTGAGAATCTCCATAGACATCCATTCAAGAGTCGATAAAAAGCTAAAAATAAACAGAAAGACCAGAACATCTCCTTACCAGCAACTAACACCCAGATAAGCAGGGATTAAAACCAAACAAATAATCAAGCAGTAAACCGCCTCACCAAAGAATTACCAAGGAGAAAACAATGCCCCACCAACATGAACAAGGCAAACTACTGTATATAAAAAAACAGAAAGCAAATATCACTCCCTTCTAATATTGAAGATATAATCTAGTTGGATAACAAAACATCTTCAACCAAAAAACCAAGCTCAGAGAACCAGCGACTCCACAGTGTGGTTGGCAAACATAATTTTCTTAAGTCCTACAGGAGGCTGTCCCCTATATAAACCAATTAAACCGATACAGAAGGGAAGTTCCCCAAGCAGGGAACTTCAACATGTTAGAATTAAAGCAAATATCAATATCAAAGACCAAAGAAATATTAGTTAAGACCACACAACACCACCAACTTTGTGAAGGCAAGATGCACTAGTGAGAGAATACAGAAAAATTATGAACAATTTACTCCTACTACCCCACACTGACCTTCTCCATTTATCATTTGGAAGGCACAAATCTAAGAGGCCCCCTCTGGCAGTTGCACAACATCTGCTTAACAACTTTAACATTGATTCCCAATGGGTTACTGAACGCCCAGACACAGATAGACATATAGATGATCCCATGCAAAAGGTGCCAGGTTTTGAACTATCTCACTAAGAACTAACTCTGAATAGGATTCATACCTCACATGGCATCTGCTGGGATTTATTGTATAAATGGAGTGTAAATCCTCCCCTCAATGAGACCATGGGGTCCCACATCAAAATTGTAGATCACACTGTGACCGGTTGTAAGCTGAAAGCATATACTGCTCCAGTGTTTTATTTTTTTCAGATAAACAATGCTGCATTTCAATGGTTAATATCCTAGACATTGGCATCTGAATATGGATCCTTTTAACATTCATATTTTACTGTTGTTGTTTTTTAATTTTAGGTGACGTGCTAGTAAATCCATATATGTTATGCCATATCTTTGGGGAAAAAAGATTTGGATCTTATTATCAAAAACATTTACTATTTGTCTCAAACATCAGTTAACCTCTTCAAAAACTAACAGAATCCTTGACAAACAGCTCCTATTCTAGTGATGAAATTTTAACCTTAGTAAAAAAAAAAAAGGCCAATTCAATTCAGGGCTGCATTTATCTAATGCTAACCCAGAGATTCAGTACCAAGGAAAGCAGAATTATGCAATCAATATATGTCCTGATTTAAGGGATTTAATAAAAAATATGTTTTAAAGCAAAATTGCCCTTTAATTCTGAATCAGACTTTATGCATGTAGAAAATAGTGAATCAGATTTTATGCATGCACAGAAGCTTACAGAGTATGGACAAAATTTCTCAGCTGTATCCAAAGTTTACTAACCAAGGTCTAACAAAAGTTTATTTTTTCAATTTAAACACCACATGGATAGCTCATAAGACAAAAATAAAACAACAAATATATAATCAAAATGTAACATAAAGCAATAAATGGATTTAGTTACAGACACAAATAACATTTACTGTATCTGTACTGTCTAGTATTTAAGGCATCAGGATACAAACTGGGACATCTGAGTTCTAAAACCACTTTAGGCAGAGTGACCTTGGGTCAGTCACTCTCTCTCTATCCAACTGATCTCATAGGGTTATTGTAGCGAAAATAGGAGGAGGAAGGAGTATGTTTGCTGCCTTGAGTTGTTTATAAAAAAATAATAAAGGTGGCATAGAAAATAAATAAATAACATTATACATTATATTATTTCATTTTATACAAATTATAAGGAAACCAAGTATTAACCTCCATCACTAAGAAATCCACACAGTTCCTTTTTGGTCTTAATAGTATCCCTCCCATGCTACAAGTTCATAACCTGTGAGATTTCTAAAAATAGTAATATAAGTAGATATTGTTTAGATATTGACCGAGCAAATAATGTCAAATTCTATATCCTTCTTTAGAGTTTGGACAAACAGAAAAATCTCAGAAACTTTTTACTAAGTGTTTTCTGCATCTAGACTTACTAGTTTTGAAAATAACTGAACCAGTGATAATTTAGTATATCAGAATGGAATGGCTTCATGAACTCATTACTTCATAAAGACTTTTATAACGGTTATTTAGCTCACCATTGTTGAACTTCATTCTACGATGAAGTCCATTCGTACATCAATAAAACTAGACGCAGAATACAATATTATGAAACAATTCATGCCATTCAACATAAATGAATTTAGGAAGTACAGTAAGGATAAAAATCATCTCTCAGATTCAATTTGGTATTCAATTAATAAAAGAAAGCTATAAGTTATATACCTTTCCCAGAAGGAGAATATCTACTTAGAGAATGATTTTTCATAAACATTCCATCTCTCCTAGTTGGCTTCACAGTGGACAAGAAAACTGAATGGATGATTGGTGTGTGTATATATATATTCCAATAAGTATACATATATACATATACACATATATACACACACGCACACATACACACATACAGAGAAAAATTTGTGAAAAGATGGGAAAATGGATAGAAAAATATTAAGGGGTGGAAATGCTAGGCAAAAATGCAGTAGGGTAGTTTTAGGCTCTATTATGAAGAATGAATATCAAAAGAATAAAAGTGGAGGTACAGATGATCCTCACTTAACAACCTTAACTGGGATTAGAATTTCCATCACTAAGTGAAGCAGTCATCAGGCGAAACACCACATGACCACACTATTTAGAGACAGCAGTTTTGGTAGCCCTCATTGCAGCTATTAAGCAAGGATTGTGCTGTTTTTCGAAAAGCATCTCATGTTTCCTTTGACCTGCCGTGCTTACCTTCACTTCACCTTGTCCCATCTCTTATCTCCCCCCATCTTTGTTCTTTTGGCTGCCTTGCACTCTGCTGTTGCCTCCCCCTGCCAACTTTTGTTGTCTTCTTCCTCCTGCTGTGATGAGGCCCTACCTGATCAAGGCCTGGACTTTTGTTAGGCATCTATGATGCTCTGTGAGACCCTTGCAAGGCCTTTATTCAGCATAGGGAGGCCTTGCAAAAGGTCAGCAGTTGTCTCAGCTGGGTGTGTGTTGTCAGCAGCGAGAGGAAGAAGACAGCAAAGGTCAGCTGTCAGTCAGCTGGGGACGATGGAGTGAAGGGTGGCCAAAATGATCTATCTGAGTGGCCTACCCTTCTCTCCCCACCCTACTTTCAAGATAATGATAAAATAAAAATAATGTCTATTTCTTGAACTTGAATAATTCTGTAGTTTGACTTGAATTATTAAACAATCTCTTTACATCAGTGTTTACTGAAAATATCTTTCCCTATAAAGACATCAGAGAAAATAAATTCCACAGCCACCTGAGGCAGCTTATGTGGCTACTGCATTATTTTTGTCAGTATTATTCTTGAAAATCAACATTACACAATCTTGTGGTTTTAAACCATTGGATGCCAAAGTGCATCATAAATGTTTCCATTAATGAATGGGGATTCTTTAGCTTCTTTCCTTGAGTGATAACTTCCTACAGCCTCTGAACCAAAAATGCATTATGGCCAAGGGGCTGCCATTGAAAAGAAATGCTACCTTCTGCAATTAGATAGAAAACCTGCCCTCAACAATTATCATCTTCTTTATTAAATATCTTTACAAATTGTCAGTATAAAGCACCTATTGGAGCAAGTTCTTATTGCTGGTGGGATAGCCAATAATAATAGAATATCTATCCTCCCCTCTGCACATCTCCGAATCTCTGTAGTATTGCAGAAAGCTAAAGATAAGAAAGCAAAGCGAAGTCCTATTATATTAGTGCAATCCACCAACATAACATTGGTCGGTACTTCCTGGTTTGGGGAACATAATGAATTATAATCACAGCTAGGATATGAGATTAAATTGGCACAAGAGTTTAACTCACTCAAATGAGATTTTGACTTCTGTAAGTAGCCAACACGTTTAATTTTATCCTGAACTACTTTGGAAAAGCCAGCAGCTTATCATGTGCCTGTGCTAGAAAAGCAGAAGCTAAAGATGCCCTTAGACACAGTCTTTAAGCTGCATTTCCATTTTTATCCCTATCAGCACCTTCTTCCTCATAATCCACAGAAATGCACGACTAATTCCACAAGTGAAGCAGTACTATGGAGCAACAGAGGTTTTCTGCATACTGCATGACAAAGATTCTGAAATTTGAATCATTTAAGAAAAGGCTTAGAAAGAAACATTGTTACAAAGTTTTGAAAGTGGCAAACTGATGTCCACATAAAAGCTGTTGAATAATTTTAAAGCACCCCCTAGAATACAGCTTGAAAATTAACTACTATGTTGTTTCTGAAGAATTTAATCAGTAATTGATGTTATTGTCACCATGAACATAACAGGAAATTATAATCAGTTGCAATGTTTTAATTCTGATTATAATGCCAAATGTGCAAAGAGATAATTAATTCTACTCCAAATATTCATAATGTTCAGAAATGTCTGTTTTATTATCTTCATATAGAATGCTGGAGAAAAAAGTTTTAATGATACATTGTATAGATCAATCATCTTGCAACTGCTTCATAAATCATGCTAAATCATAATGGCTCTGTGCTTCATTTGTTGAGTGTGGCCTAGAGATTCAATATCCTTTTTCCCTACTCTTGGAATAAACCAGAGAGAGAAACCCAAGAAAACCATGTTTTAACCAGGTTTGTTCCACTCAGAATAAACATAGTTCCTGCATACTGCATGACAAAGATTCTGAAATTTGAATCATTTAAGAAAAGGCTTAGAAAGAAACATTGTTACAAAGTTTTGAAAATGGCAAACTGATGTCCACATAAAAGCTGTTGAATAATTTTAAAGCACCCCCTAGAATACAGCTTGAAAATTACCTACTATGTTATTAGTTTGTCTAATATTCTATAATAACTATACTGCACTAGCTGCATCTGCTTATAAAATTCAGCACTGTCCATTAAGACAAGTACTCTGAATACTTAGGATGTAGGTATTTTTGTGCAGAATTCTGTTAATATAGACAAAAACATTACTTTTTAAGGATCATATAATACATTATTTCTTTAAAATTAAATTTGAAACAGGAAGCATCCAAAATTATGTCTGATTAAAAATATGACACAAAAGTCCTGACAATTTTTTTTCCAATAAAAACCTTGTCTGGTGTTTAAAACAGCAAAAGTAGAAAAGCAGTTGTATGTAAAAACAATTTATGCAGGGGATCATTCATGGTAACGAACATTATATTCCTTAATTTATTCTTTGTGCATTAAAAAAAGTTGGGGAGTTCAAATGAGTGTCCTTTTCTGATTCTTTAATAAAAGGATTATAAAGGACAGAAGTTATCAGCAATTCAGTAAGCTCCTTTCCATAAAACATCAACTAATCTGGGATTAGCAAATGAACATAATGAGTGTGTCTCACTAATATAGCATGTTAAGGATGATATATACAGAATATGTACATCAATATAAACATTCACACAATGGTGAATAAAAACTAACACTTTTACATGATATATATAGTAAGGCAAGACTTTTTTTTTGGCAAATTAGAATATATATTATTTTTGTGCAGTTATTTACAGATTCAAATTTAAAAAGCAGTGAATATGACAGATGCAGATGTCTGAATAACTTTTCAGTTAGTACTCTGTAGTCTTTCCTTTGGCAGAGATAACTTGCAGACATTTCCCATAGCTAGCTAAGAATCTTTCTATTCTTGGTTTTAGAATGTTCTTTTTTGTAGAACTCTTCTAGCTCAGAAATATTCTCAGGACTCCCTGCATGCATGTATCTTTGTGATTCCAGTTTTATAATATTAAAATCTGGAGATTATGAGGTCCTTTTCAAAGTCATTTCTCTTTCTTTTCTGAAAGTATTTTATGGGTGATTTTGAGCTATGTTTTGGATTGCTGACTGACATAACCAACTTATTTTCAGCTTCCATTTCTCTAATAATTACACTAACATTGTAGAGTATTAGTTTCTAGAACATGATGACATTTAATTGAATCCATTCAATTAGTAAAGACTTTTCTTCATAGTCAGTGAGCAGGTGTACAGCCTAACTACATTAAATGGGAAATCAGCAGAAGGTAACTTAGATTACTAAAATGTACTGTACTTTATATGGAACTGACCTAGAAGGCAACTCAAAAGTTGTAGCTAATAAAAATGTGAAATATGCATTTGTTTTACAGGAGCAACTGTACTGGTTGCTGTACTGGCTTCTGATAAGCCTCCATATAAAACAATATTTTATTTGAATTAGCAACAGTTGGCTGCCTTACATAGCATACTAAACTATACATGATAGTTTAAAAACACCACCACATACATCACTGTATCAATCTTTATTTTATTTTATTTTAAGATGATTCAGACACACACCAAATGTAGAAAAGAGCAAATTATGGTATAATGCAAGCCATATGTTAATTTTTAATAGCATGTCTGAACTACTAGAAACTTTAGTAAAGCCATGTTTGTTTATAGGTCACCCGAAACAGTCAACTCTGGACAGCAAAAACCACTTATGGCTGCTTATATCCTTTACAAATGGAGTTTCAAGCAACATCACTACATAAATAACAATGTCCTACATTAGATTTCAGCAATTCAGCTTCACTGTTTACCATATATATCATTATTAATGATGAAAACTAATGCCAACAGATGCCAACTAATATTAGCATGCTAACTGGTATATTTCAACTTCCCCAAGAACTAAATCTATCTAAGTAAATTGTGTCGCAGTCATCACTTCCAAATTTAAGAAAAAAGAAAATTCTGAAACTGGTCCATGCAATAATTCTGACAAAGACCTGGAAATTCAATTGCAAATAGGATATTCACTGATATTTACATATTAAAAATGTAAATTAAACATTTTAGCATATATAGGTGGCTGAACTAGGAAAGACCTCCATGAAATTAGTGAAGTAAAAACCACGAGTCAGGGGGTATTGATAGCTTAATTAACCCACATCTGCAGTATAAAAACAGATCTACTCATCTTCCAAAGCAAAGCAGGTAAACAAAAAATCCATGGATAAAAATGCAAGGAGGACAGAAGATGGTCATCTTAAATTCATGTGACATGTTGGATCGTTTCAGAGATATTTCCTTACTTAAACTGAGAAACAGAATGGCCAAGGTTAGGCAAAAAAGCAATGGGAGTGGCAATGACATCTAACTTCTTTCTAGTTTCCCATAGATTTTCCATGTAGGAAACTGTCATAGTTAGAAATGACAATCAGGTAACTAAAACTGACCAAAAGAACCAGGGAACAGTGAAGCAGCCACAACTTTGCCAAATTCCAATCTCACAGGAGCCATGGGTCCTGGAACTTGGATGCATTCTTTAAGTTAGCCCTATTTGAGGTACATTGGTTCAAAAACTGTTGCTTTATTATGCATCATTTTGCCCAATGGAATGCTACAAAAAAATCAAACAGACATAAGTGTTTTACTGGAATATAGATTATGTGAAGAGCTTTCATCCCAGTAACACAAGTTATGCAAAAAGTTACTGATTTGTTTAATATTTAGCACACACACATTTTTGTCAATGTCTTCACAACTGATCTTTACAAAGTAAGCTATTGTGACTCTATACAGGAAAGTTGTTCCAATAGCCTTCAGCCCTAGTTATCAACAAAATAACATCATTTGGGAAGAGAGATGGTGCCACTTTGGAGAATACAAAAGAAGAAACAGATCTTGTCCCAGAACTCAAAATAACTCTTTGATTTCATTTGCAATGCTATGCCTCAGACACAAAGACATGAAAGAAATAGGATTGTGAAGATCAATGCTGATCTTTAAAGTTAAATTTACCCTCCCCTACCTTCCCAGTGAATGCTGAAGCTAAAACTACAGGTAATCCTCAACTTACAATCACCGTTGAGCCCAAAATTTATGTTGCTAAGTGAGAAATTTGTTAAGTGAGTGTTGCCCGTCACATCCTGGACATAAACTGTTTCAACTCCTACCCTCAAAACGATGCTATAGAGCACTGCACACCACACAAGAAGAATTTTTCCCCGAACACCATCACTCTGCTAAACAAATAATTCCCTCAACACTGTTCAACTATTTACAAAGTTTGCACTACTATTACTATTAATCTTCTCATCACTCCTTATCACCCACCCACTCCGAGTTGTGACCATATGACTGTAACTTTGTCACTCGTATCCTTACGGTTTATATTGACTGTTTCCTAGTATGATTTGATTGCTTATTGTACCCTATGACAATTATTAAATGTTGTACCTTATGATTCTTGATCCTTGATGCATGTATCTTTTCTTTTATGTACATTGAGAGCATCTGCACCAAAACAAATTCCTTGTGTGTCCAATCACACTTGGCCAATAAAGAATTCAGTTTTCGACTTTTCTGGCCACAGTTGTTAAGTGAATCCCTGCAGTTGTTAAATTAGTAACACAGTTGTTAAGTGAATCTGGTCTCCCTATTGACTTTTTTCTTGTCAGAAGGTTGTGGTAGGCGATCACAGGATGCCAGGACACTGCAACCTTCATAAATATTAATCAGTTGTCAAGCATCATCTGGATTGTAAATCATGTGACCCTGGGGATGCTGCAATGGTCCCTAAGAGTGAAAAATGATCATAAGTGACTTTTTTCAGTGTAACTTCAGTCACTAAGTCGACTGTTGTAAGTCGAGGACTTCCTGTATAACATTTTAAAACATCCACATGCTTCTGAGTGTGCAAGGCTGGACCCCGCCCGTTCCCCAACAAGCCTTTACCAGGACCAGCAAATCCTCAAAAAAGTGATGAATAAGCTTTCCCTACGGACTCTCCGCTGTTTCGCCGCTATAACGTTTACAATCACGCTTCCTGGAGGAAGCTTGCACGCGAAAACACCCAGGCGTCGTTTCCCCGTGGCACAGCCAAAGAAAACCGCTGGGGTCTGGGAATGTCAAGTCTGCCATCCAAGTCAGGAAAACGTTGGCCCTTTCTACTCGAGTCGGCGGGGCTCGTAGCCGAACAGCCGCGATCTATCTGTTCAGGTGGCGGATATCGGCCATCGCCGGCCAGCTCTTACCTTGACCGACACTGCTGGGGCCGAGTCCACCACCGGCAGCAACACCTGTTGCGCAGCGGGCGCCGCCGCAGCCGCCAAGTGAAGCACAGCGTCAGCCCCGGCGACCTGAGCGGAAAGGCCGGGCCTTCCTTCAGCATCCGAGCCCGAGTCGGACTCGGAATCCGAGCCCCCGTATGACGCGAGGGCAGCGATGGCGGCCGACATCTTACCCGAACGGAAGTGGCCCTCCTAGGCCAGGGGGGCGGGGCGCGGGAAAAGCCTGAAGAGTCCTGGCAGCTGCGTAAAACAATTCTCCTTCTCTCCGGACTCCCCTCAGTTTGGGCTGAACTGAACATATCTAGGAGCGACCAAAAGAATATGTACCTATTTTTAGCCTTCTGTCCAAATACAATTGTGACGGGAGTCATGAAGCGTCACGCTTTTTAAGGTTGACCGCAATGAGGACTTTCAACCAGTACACAAATCCCAGGATACCTTCGATTGTTGCGGAGGGAGGAGGGTAGGGCAATCTGAGACTGTTGCTCCTGAGATAGTTATCGGTGGAAAACTGTAATTTCAATGCACATTAGTTTGCATTAATCTTCTCGGGGCTACTTCAGATAGACCTAACAGGAGAGACTGAAAGCTGCACAGCTACTATAGTATACATTAGATGAAGGGTGTGTGTGTGGGGGGGGGGAGATTTGTGCCATCTTTAGAACTAACCAAATCTCGCACTTCTTTTTATTCCAAAACAAGAATGGACCCCTTCCCTTTTATTCCAAAATAAGAGGGCATGAACGTATCGACATTCCTCACTTGCAAACAAAGTGGGTCTTTTTTATTAAGTGGTCCCAGTTCTGAAATGCAGCAATGTAAAATAGGCGTCAGTGTCCTCTCGCCTTCAATTCCCATGTTTCTAAACGCCACCAAATCATTTTTGCAATGTTAATTGCAAGGTACGTACTGAAAATATCGGTTCCGTTTTGACAACAGACCTAACATAACTGCATTAGGGTGCAGTTCGAAATCTGGTAGTAAGAATGGCATCCAATGACTCTAGGAATTCACTGGTTCATTCTCGCTGATCATTCAGAAAGCACGAATGAGTTCCAAAAGCTTCATATTTTGGATAAAAATAAACGGATATGTAAAAATTCAGAGCATAAATCCTAAGCATCGTTAGGCTCAGTTGCTTCCAGAATTATAGCGGAATATATATAATTATTAATTACAGGATAAATCATCGGGGCATATAAATATCTATTTTATATAGTATTTATAAATGCAGTTAGTTTTCGATCCGATACCATTTATTTCAATACATATAGGCAAGTGTTGAGATTTGTAGCCTTACTAGAAATTCAATAGTACTACTAAATTATTAAAAGCGGTGTCAGCCACGTTGACCGACTATATTAGAAAGTGAATCATGGCTAAGGGGATTACTACAGACTTCCTTCCGCAATTAGTGGAGTCCTGTGAAGAGTTTCACAGTACAATCTTACCCACTAACGGAGATGCAAATCCTACCGAATTCGGTGCGGTTTGACCGGCAATTGTATATACACTGTATTGCATATTCCTAATACAATTGTATAATGACAGAATGACTGCAGCATTCAAACTACGGCGTTTCCATGCTTTCTTTTTCTAACCAAACATTTGCTCCAACGGAAAAATGGAGCAAGCATAAGTAAGCCTCATCAACGCTTAGCCTGCGCCGACCTGTATCTTAATGTAGCTCTCCCGGACCGCCGTTCACCCTCTTGCAAAGCCTCCTCGGTCCGACTGCCTTTGGATCTAACGCCAGCTCCTCCTCCTCTTTCTTCTAATTGGCTGCGAGAAGCCGGTTTAGGGAAAGCCGCAATAAAACCCTACCGCCGCCGCCTCCCCTCACTCTCAACCCCTTAAACAGAATAAAGCTAGCCTGTACCACCCGGCCGTGTGGGCGGGGGTGCGCGCGCCTGCGCGTGACTGGCATCAGTAAAGAAGCTCCAAGCGTCCGCCTCTTTTCATCCCGAGGCAGAAGAGCCGCGCGGTGAGGGGCTTGCCGGCTCAGGTGGCTGCGCAAAACGACACCTTCGCCGGCCTCTCCCCTTCAGTGGTCGCGCCACCCCCGTTCCGGGAGAGAGTGCGGGAGCCGGCCAAGAAAGCCCCGCCTTCGGCACACTCGCGCCGACACACTCACACACGCGCACACACACACGCGCGCCGCTCTCTCGCGCCGTGTCTATTGTGAAGCTTTGTGCCGAGGAAGGTCCGCGCTTTCTCCTTCCCTTCCTTCGTCCTTCTCCTCCTCAGCTCCGTCTCAGCGGCCCCCACCCCCAACAAAAAATCCGGACTTTCGCAGACAACCGTTCGCCAGGGGTGCGGGGTGGGCTCCCTCGCGGGGCGCGCGATCGAACTTCCAAGCCCAACGGACTCGCTGGGCGCGAGCTTCTTTCTCCCCCCTCCACCCCCCCGACGCAGAAAGGGAAAGGAGCCGACGGGGCGGCGGGGGCTGTGAGAAGATGTAAAAAAAAAAAAGGGGTGGTGGTGGTTAACGGCGAGACGTGGTCAAGGAGCCGGGATTCCCTCAGCAAGAAGACGCGGTGAGTTTGCTGCCTCTGCTGCGGTCCGGTATTCACTGCAGTGCTCCTTCTTTTTCTCCCTTCCGCCACTGCCCCCTTCTTCCACTTGCCCCGCCGCTTCCCGCTTCGCCGAGGCGAGATATTCCCATTCGGTCATTCCACGCGGAGAGGGGTCACGCCTCCCACCTTTACCTGCTGGCCGGCCAGCCAGCCAGCCAGCCAGCCAGCCAGCCAACCATCTCTCCCGTGCTGGGTTAATGGGAACGGGAAAGCGAGGGAAGCCGAGTGGGGGGGGGGGGAGGGGGGGGGCCAAGGTTTGTAGCTGCCCCCCCCCCCCCCCCTCCTTCTTCCCCCTCGGTCCTGCGGCCTCAGATTGGGGCATGCGGGCGCTTCCGGTTGGCGATTTTTCTCCGCTGCCCCCCCCTCCCCGCCCCCCAAAGAAGGCGAGGCTGCGGTCAAGGGTCTCCTCCTCAGATGTACCTGAAATACGTCGTTGGAGGGTGGGATGGGGGTTGCTCGCTGCTTCTCTCCTCGAGTCTTCCGCCAATACGCGGCAATCTTTATTTAAAACTGGGTATGTAGCCTTATTTCGTGGCAAAAAGACCCCGTTAAATTCGTTTCTTATCACATGCTCAGATGGCTCGATGCGAACTTAAGTCTCACCTCTTCCCCTGTATAATGGGTGGAGGGATGGAGTGGTTAGAAAAGCATAAGGAGCCTTTTCTTTCCCGCTCCCCTTTTGTCGAGGCGGGCTTCAGAATGGCGTGGAAAAACATCAAATCCGATGAATGTAGTTTAAACGATACGAAACGAGGTCGGGATATTTGTTTCAGGGTAACTGGAGCAGAATCCGTGTACCTGTGTGTGTGTTCCACTGAACGCATTAATGGAAATATGAAAGGGCATTTTTGGTGTGTGTGTGTGTGAGAGGGAGAGAGAGATGTGCTGCATATGGGCTAAATGCAATAAAGATACGGAGGACTTTATACATCCTTGATTTGTATGAAGCTATGTAAAGCAGTGTGTGGAACAGGTTCAGGGTTATAGAGCTCTTGTCTCAAACATATGGAAATAAGGAAGGACACAACTGGCCATTTGTCTAAGCATAAATAATTGTGTTTCCATATGCTATGAAATATCACTATTTTTGAATTAAGCTAATTTCTCTTTAAAGCCTGAAACTTATCTTGAGAGGGGGTTATCACATGGCAGTGAATGAGTTATCCAGCCCAGTACTTTTATTATACAGAAATGGTAAGATCCAAACCTTTTCCCCTGGAATCCTACTTGTGGCTAAAGTAACTGTGTCATAGTAGACTTAACTGCTTTCAACAGCTCTTCCAGATTGTACTTTATGCTATTTGACATAATTTTATAGACACTGGGTGTGAAGATTTAACATTGGTTCTGAGTGCTTTTAAATAATGTTAAGATTGTTTTTTTTACATTAATATTCCTTTTTTTAAAAAAATGGAAAAAACATAACAATGTAATAAAATAAAATATTTTATATGTATTCACATATTACATAATATACATTTGAAAAAAGCCATTACTGTGTTACCCATTTATGCTTGGGTTTTGTAGAAATCTGAGGTAGTGTACATATACAGTACTTTTGTTTTGACTAAATGTTCTTTGAATATTAGATCTTGAATTGTTTATTCAAATAGCAATACTTCTGATAAAGCATATTCTAACTTTGAAATTTTACTCGGAAGACAATGTTGCATGCTATAGAGAAAAAGGTAAAATATTTCTAAAACATGTCTGTCATTTTGGTTGGGTTGTTTTTCAATTCCATTCTAAAAGTAAATTGAAAAATGTTTAAATCAAAATAAAAGATAATACATTTCACAATAAAAACAATATGATAACCTGATCTTGGACACCATCAATTTGCTGAAATATTATTTCTTAATATATAATAATTTATAAGGCAATATCATAACAGAACCCTTTGAACACAGTAGTATAAATGGAGTACAGTACACAGACAGCTTATAGCTTTATTGTTTTTATTTTCATGAAGCTGTTTTGTCTTGTTATTGTTTTAATGAGCTGGCAGCAGGATTGAGATATTTTGTCTATGTTGTTTGTGTAAACTCAGTTTTGCAGTAACATTGACTACAAAGAGTTTCCTGAATAAGTTGTTACTTTTAATATCAGTATGTGTGTATCTTTTTGATGATGGTGCAATATTTCTGTGAAGCTGAAATAGGTTAACCATGGTGATATTCATGTCTGATAGGAATAAGAAATTTCAATAAGCATGTTATCCATTAACCAGGTATAAAATAAACTCTTGTTCCCATTCAGACCCAAGTATTAACTTTTTCGGAAAAAGAAATATTTGGAATTTAAAAAATGCTAATAATTTGAAATATGTTAGTCTTAAATACTTCAGAGGTTCCAATGAAGAATGTACAGTAGTATATAAATTGGGTTGATCAACATTTATCTTTGTTTTTTGTTGTAAGTGATCTTTTTAGTGGATTTTATGTGACTTATTTTTATTTAATCAATAAGGTATAGGTATACAAATGTTTACTTTTCTTCTATTCAGCCATGACAATTCTTGGAAATTGCCTGGACAAGTCCTTGCAGTTTTCTTTGCAAGGTTTTTCAGATGTGATATGCCATTTCCTGCTTAGTTATTATCAAAATAGGTTATATTCACGCTCCCTTTCTTATCATATATTAGGGGCAGAATTTTTATAATTACAAGATGCACTTTCTCTGTGTGGAATGGGCATTACCTTATGATTTGTTCTCAACAGGTAGCAGCAGAACCTAGTAGAACTTTGTTGATCTTGGAAGCTAGCAGAAATTGTTCTGGTTGGTAGTTGGATATGGCACTATCTAGAAACTACTGGGTACACTGAAAATTTGAGGGGAAAAATCTTGGAAGAACACAGTTGCAGTTTAATTACAAAAAATGCTGCAAGATTCCCCCCCCCACTTTGCACTTTCCAAGATTTTAGTTTAATTTGAGGACATCCTTTTATATTGGTATGCACTTACCATTAACAGCGTCTAGAAGAATGGACAAGGTAATGAAAAATTAGGAGAATGCAATGGAGGAACATATTCATAGATATTCTACTAGTTTTGTTTTTGTTTGCAGCAAACATGAAATAGGAATAATGAATAATTTATGTCATTCTCCTGAATCATCTTTTATTAACATTGTATAACATGTATCCTGCTGACTATGATTAATTCATGTAACTTAGATTTCGTATAAAAGATAACTTAAACAATTGATAGAATACAGTACATGATTTTTCTAGATGTACTAGCTTCTGATTATATTTTCTGTTCCTCCCATTATTTTATGCCACTGTGAATGAACTGTATTCAGTTTTTTTAAATTTTATTTTATCAACTTGCTAAGGGGTTTTATATTAAACCATTCAGGATCTAATAGACAGTACAAAGTATTTTAATATAAATATTGTTTATTTACAAGTTCTGCTTGCCTATTGGGTGACTTTTATTTATTCTAGACCAGTCATTGATTTTCAGTAAATGAATCAATATCTATAGGATTGGCTCTCCAATAGCAATACAAGAGCCAGTGTGGTGTAGTAACAAAGGTGCTGGCTAGAAACCAGGAAATTGCAAGTTCTGGACTTGATTGGATTAGCAAGGAATGCATCCAATAGTGAGAAAATTGTTAAAGACACAGTTGAATGATGGAAACACTATCAAAGCCATCAATATCTGAGCAATACCTGAGATATGATGCACTGCTGAAATTATTAACTGGACACAAGTTAAACTGGACAATTTGAACCGAAAAACAGAAGTAAAGTTTGGGTTACAAAACATCAGATATAATTATGATTGAAAAGAAGAAAGGGTGGATAATTAATGGGGCAACACCAGGCAATAGTAGAATAGGAGACAAAGAACTGGGGATTACAAAGTATCAAGATCTGAAAATAGAAGTTAAAAGGTTATGGCATAAATTGATTGTGGTACTCTCAGTGGTTATTGGCACACTGAATACCATACCAAAAAAATGTGGAATTTGTGGATTGACAACATTTCCATCTGTCAGTTGCAAAAGGCCATACTATGTGGATTTGCATATATTATTAACTATGAGAATATATTACCATATCCTAGATCAGGGGTGTCCAACCTTTCACCTTCCCTGGGCCACATTAGAAGATGAAAATTTGGTTTGGGCCGCACATAAAATAAAATAACAGTAACGATACCTGATCATCCAAAAAACCCATAGAAAACATAGTTAACATATTAAATTTATTTGGAAATGAAGTTAGTGAGATGTTTTTATTATTTATTATTTATTAAAAAATATTTATTTTTTATCACGGTTTTTTTATCACAGTTTATCATTGTTTATTTTCCGGCCAAATTTTGCGGGGGGGTGGGGGAAGAAAGCTCGGCTGCCTCACGCCTACCTCTCCTCCTGCAAATGGCCCAGCTGGATGAGGCAGGACTGGAGGACAGAAGCAGCAGGGGCGGCGGGGGCAGTGGCGGTGGGGGCAGAAGCGACAGCGGCGGCAGGGGCAGAAGCGGCAGTGGCGGCGGGGGCAGAAGCAGCAGCAGCGGCGGGGGCAGAAGCAGCAGCGACAGCAGGGGCAGAAGCAGCAGCGGCGGCAGCAGCAACAGCAGGAGGTGGCACTCTGACGGCGCTCACCTTTTCTGTTGCTGCTTGGCATGGCGCTCGCCTTGCCCCGCCTCGCGTCTGCCTCTCCTCCTCCTTGCTGGCTCTGGCACGAAGGTTGGGGTGGGCACTGGGCTGCATTATGAGGCGACCTGGGCCGCATGCGGCCCGTGGGCCGCGGGTTGGACAAGCCTGTCCTAGATTGTTGGGAAGACCTAAATGTGTATGAAGGCCAACAGCTAAAGAACTGGCAGTTGTGACTTCACATTGTTGTGAACAGATAATAAGAATAATATGGGTCCTTGGAAAGCATTCAATGTGTAGATAAAAATGCCAAATCCAGCCTAAACATCTGATTGACTGCCATCAACCATAAAAATACATTGTATTTTCTCAAATACAGTTACTGACCCATCAGAAGTTTTTTATTTAAATCAAAATTTGACAGATGGACATGGAAATAAGTATTAATTGAATTCAGTCTTACATTTTTTTCCTTTAAAAAATTAAAACTCTGGGGACTAGCACTGTTGGAATCCAAAGGCACACTAGTTGGGGGCTTATATAAAAAAAGTAAACGTTTGAATCTCCACCTCTAGATTGCCTCTGCAGTCTTTCAGCATTTGAGGAGATTTTGGAGACTTTAGGGAGATAAATATTACCATTCTTGGATTCATTTGCAGAAAATTCTGTCAGCAGAAGAATTTGACCACCCAGAATGTTTTTGTTTAATACACAAGACTTTATTAATAGCCAAGCCATAAATAAAATATATATATAGAAATAGCAGTACTCTTGCATACTTTCATTTAAGTATCTTGGTGAATTAGATCAAAATCTGTTTATTTTGTAAAAAAAATATCTGCAGCTCCAGTGGAAATTGATTACTTAGCTTTTGCTTTCTGTTTAAGTAGCTTTCCATGTTACTGTGAAACTATGAAACAATTTGCCTCTTTATCTAGTATGGGGACTGGCCACTTTGTAATTTTGGTAAATATGGTAAAAATAATAGCTATAAGTACAAATGGCATAAGTTTGAAATGACTGAAGTAAAATACGAGCGCATACATATTTATGGAGATTCTCAGTCATCCTGGTTATGGTTGCCCCAAAGGTGTTTTTTCAAGAGGCAACTGGACTTTCTGGTTTTTCTTTGAAGACATTTTGCTTCTCATCCAAGAAAGCTTCTTCAGCTCAAGAAGCTTCTTGGATGAAAAGTGAAACGTCTTCAAAGAAAAGCCAGAAAGTCCAGTTGCCTCTTGAAAAAGCACTTTTGGGACTAGAGCATACACTTCCATGCCTCCCTTTTGTCTCTCAGGTCCTAGAGTTCTATGAAGGCGGTTGTGATAAATTTTCAAGATATTTAAAGGTCAGTGTTGCATATGTCTACTCAGAACTTAAAACTCCTTCTGGAAACTTAACTGAGATTTCAAAGTTGGATCAATTCATACTTTTTCCTGATATTGCAGCTTGGTTATATAAAGCTTGGTTATGTAAAGCTTGGAAAGGTTCAGCTGATTATCAATGTATGTTACTATTGTTCTTCATGACATTTATTAGCTAGTTGTATGAGAGAAAGGTTTGAGTTCAGACAGCAAGTAAGGCTTTCTTGAGGGAGAATAAGATATTAATAGGTTTAAGAGTGATTGTGGCATATCTTCCCCTTTAAAAAGTTAAAAACTGCTGAGTTTTTCTCTAAAATCTTTTAAAAAGTAGTGACTAGACAGCTCCAGAAATTCTGTCAAAAAGATTTTAAATGTATTTCAGTCTGACCATGCTGCCTTGTTATTGTAATAGTACTGGGGTGGGTGGGGTATTGTACTTTTGTTTTGTCTGCAGCCTCAGTTGATGCAATATCTGGTCTAAACTAGTTTCTGTTGATTCTCTGTGATCTCTTAAGAACTTTTGACATTACTAGTCAAGGCATTGTAGTTGATTTAACACTGTCATTTTCTGTGACCTCTTAAGAGTGTTTGACATTAGTAGTCATGGCATTGTATCTGATTCAACGCTACCTAGGGAAGAAAAGTTCAACCTATTTAGATTTCTTTTTATACTAAATTATAATAAAAAGATATCTGTAGTGGTGCTCAACAGAAGTTCCATTCTTCAATTACATCAAAAGATGTTACAATTATATTGTGATTGACCAGATAGCAAATCCCTGAAATTTGACTTAAGGCTGCCTTAGATTTCTGTGTCATTGCATGTCAGGGAATGTATGTATCTGACATTTGGAGACCGTTGCATACCTGTCGCCTTTATATTTCTGCGAATGTTAATATTCTGGCTAGGGAATGTTCAAACAACAAAGCATCAAGAGGAAGTCATATCAACCAATCAACATGCAGGACATGCATCTCTGTACAACATGTAGTTGAAATTTGGGAAGTGTGCATGTCGCCCTGTCTGCAACCATTTGCAACCTTCATTTAACTCATCAACCCTTTGCATCGTAGATACGTGTTGGCACCTACATGCAGTTGTGAACAAGTCTGAATCAAGCTTTAGGCTGGTTCACACATCACATGAAACAGGAAATGTTTCTATTGGCTTCAGATCAGGTTTACATGGCATATTGAAGACTCGACTCTAAAATAGGCAAGTAAGATCCATTTTAGTTTGCTTCTGAGATTCTGCAATAATTAACTTCCATATTTTGTCCCTTCATTCTCCCCAAACTTGAAAAGAGGATCAAAAGCAACTAAAATGTTCATCCCTCCTATTCTTGGAGCCATAAACTGGATGCTGAAGGCTACAGATGACCTCTGTACTTTTTGTATGCTTCAAGATACATTTTGTTTAAGTATGGTTTGTTCAATAACTTACAACTGAGCTTCCATAGCACACTATGTGATAATCCATTTTTACAGCCCAAATAGATTAACATGTCACACTATGCTATAATGTGATTTCTTTAATGTGTTGAATGAATCCAATAAATTTTTTAACATTAATAGTATTTGGATCTTATTTTTCTTATATCAGGATTGTCTGTTATTGTAAAACTCTGGATATGGAAGCAGCTATAAATTAGAAGTGCTTTCATTTTGAAACATTATTTGAAACATTTGAAATTATTTTCCTAGTTTTCTCCAAACACAAAACACAAATCAAATAAGTGGTATTTACAGGTAAGAATATATTATAACCTCATTGTGCTGCAGCTGTTTGGACAGTGATGTTAAGACTTCATATCAGTGTTTTTGTAACTGAACTATTTTCAGAAATGAAAACTAAAAAAAAAAAAGATAAAGATTTTCCCTATCTGTCCATGACCAACTCTAGGGAGTGGTGCACATCTCAGTTTCTTAGCTAAGGGGGCAGCTTTATGCAAAGATTCTTTCTTCCTCACGTGGCCTGCATGACCATACGTAGAGTGCATGGAATGCTGTTACCTTCCCATCTAAGTGATACTTATTTATCTACTTGATTTTCATGCTTTCAAACTGCTAGTTTGGCAGGAGCTGGGGCAAGAACAGGAACTCTCCTTGTCTCAGTACTTGGGTCTCAAACTGCCAGCCTTCTGTGCAAGAAGCCCAGCACCTTAACCAGTAGGTCATTTACCCCACTCTCCCCAGAAATGAAAACTAGATTAACAGGTTCAGACTATTAAATAGTAGAAACTACTAAAGCAGGTTAATTTTCTCAGGGAGCCACATCAGAAATGGGTTGTTGCTGAAGGACCAACTACTAGACTGAACTTAATTCTGCCACTGATATCCTCCATGTGTTGAGGGGAAGAGGAAACAAGAAACCTCTCCCCAGCTTGACTGTTGCTCTTCTGCTCTTTCACAGCTGACTAAAAGAGCACACTTGGCTTCCCTCCTGCCCCTGCATAGTCAGATATATATTTTATTTTCTAACTTCCAGTTGATCTCATGTGGACTCGACAGTAACAGCCCAAGGGCTGGATATGACTTGGAGGGCACACACACACACACACACACACACACACACACACACACACAAAATACTCTGGAAATCACTCCTTTTTTTGTTTATTAGAATGTTTCTTCCAATTTGTAGATAGAACCTTTAAGATAAGTTGAACGTGTTACTTACCAACTGAGTTGTAAAATCAGAAAGTAGCTGTTTGTCCCACTTTGCTTAAGTCTTAGAGGCAGTAATCAAAGAAAGAGGCATGGTAAGTCTGTCTAAGGATTGCACATAGGTAAATGGGAACAATGTGGGGAAGCAAATGAAAGTAGAAGTAGACCTCACTTATCATCCATTCGTTCAGTAACTGTACAAAGTGATAATACTTCTGAAAAAATTTTTTATAGCTCATTTAAGACCTGTTCATGAACTTTCAAATATTTCAGGTGGCTAATAATCACCTGGGTCATCTTTAATATCCTTAATATCATATTCAGCAATCTTTAAAAGCTATTTATGGAGTTAGTACATGGAACTAAATATATAAATTCTGAAATTAAAAAGTTTAGTAGCTTTGAATGTTAAATTTAGAGAATTAAGTATAGTTGCTACTTTCAAAATCCATGAGAAAAATGACTATCTAAAGCTACATTAAGTAAATAAAAATTTAATTAAGACCACTTTAAAGTAGTTTTAGAATATATTAATGCAAATAACTTTTTTTTCATAAATCAAACATACTAGCCACTGATGTGGATTTTGTTTAATTTAATTTACTCCTGGAAACAAATACTTTTCTATTTACTTACCTGTGATGAAATACTAATTACCATGTTAGTTAAAGCTTTATGTTTGAAAAGAAGTTCGTGCATTCTAAATAAATTATATTTCTTACAGTTTCAATATTTAATTAGCTGTTTTTAACCTGAAATGTATTAATATTTATGTTTCACTATTGTCTCTTAGGACATTAAGTGTCTCTAGCTTCATCAGTGTCGTCAGACTTCTCCTAGCTGTCCAGACAAGAAATAGGTTTCCAAGGACAGTAAAGTTCTGTTAAGTATATTTATTATAACAAATTTAACAAAATCACTATGAAACAATTCAGCGATTGCTGGATATAAAATACTAACTACATTTATAGACCAATCATGGTTCAAAGTTAATCTATTTGAACATGATGTTGATTTCCACCTGCCTCTTATTTTGAAAGCAGAATGATCTGGAATCTTCTTTTTTGGAGCAGTTCATCCTTTAAGTGGAAGAGCAGCTGATTTTGAAATCTACTTTAAATCCTAAATTGGTTTCCAGATTTTTTTTAAATATCTGCTTCTAACATTATTGTTTTTATATTGTTCATTATACAATACATATTTCCTAGATTCATGCTTCTCATGAGAATAAAACATCGGCCTTCAAAAATAAATGGACAGCTTAAAAATTAAAATAAAAAAATACAACAAATCATAGAAAAATCAAATCTTGTTACTAGCTTCTTAATTTATTGGTATTTATTTTTTCCTAGCTTTATTCTGTTTATCTTTATAAAGAACTCACAAAAAACTTTATAAAAAGAGCTTTATTAACGGAAAAACACCTTTATAAAAACATAAAAAAATAAAAGGAAAAATTATTTTAAAAATGTATAAAGAACTTATAAAAAAGACTTGACATCTCACAGAAGGGAGCAAATATTCACAAGGTATTAAACACACACACACACACACACACACACACACACACACACAACCCTTCCTGGATATTCTCATCAGCAGAAGAAACACAAGTCTATCAAAAAACAATCCACACTAATTAAGCACTCCATTACCAAAATAACAACCCAATCTCCCAAAAGAGGATTTGGGTAAGAACATTATTCAGATGAGTACCCTATAGCACCCTACAGGAAACAGATTGCCCTAATAAAGGAACTACCAAAGATAAAACCACATTTCTCTAACTCTAGCAGAACAAGCTACTATGTTATATATAAACAGGAAAAAACTGCCACACACAGTAGCACTAATAATATATAGTTACATAGTTGGGTAATGAAATGTCTGCAAGCAACTAAGCTCGGAGAACACCAATGACTCCCCATCGTTATACTTCAGTTGTCATCTGTATTTTTTTCCTGCAAACTCTTGGGAACATTCTATTCATCTCACTGATTTCAAAGCTAGTAAAATAGTTGGATTTTGATTGCTCTTCATTTCTTTTACTTCAAGCTGGGCACAGCAACTTTTAGCCAGGTGTTGATCAAAGTAACCGAAAATAGCATTTATAGCCTATCTAGGATGGGAGTACCTTGCTACAGTAATCCTATGCACATATAGATAATCCTTGGCATAAAACCACAGTGGAGCCCAGAATTTTGGTCATAAGTCATTGCAGTCATAAGTTGAGTCACCACGTGACTGATCTCAATTTTACAAATGCTTTTTTGATGGTCATAAATCAGCTCACTGCATCAACTCACTAACTGAATCACATCATTGTTAAGTGAATCATGGGATTGTTAATCTAACCACATGGTCATTAAACTTATCCAATGGGCTTTTTTGCCATTTTCTGCTTGAAAACAGCAAACAACATTGCAAATTGTGGTCACATGGCCATGGGATACTGGTTGTAAATTGAGCTGGTTGCCAAGTGCCAAAAATGCAACCACATGCCCACAGGTATGTGTGCATGTAACTTTGAGAATGGGTTGAAGTAGCTTTGCAGGATCCAATCTGGATTGGTTACTGGGACCAGAGACTTAGTTTCTCGAGTTTTCGGACTTGTGCTGGAGCCCATCCTCAGGGAGCTTCTGTCTACCAGAATGTGTCTACCAGAAAGCTTGGAAGACTAAACTTCTGGTCCCAGTGACCAATCCAGATTGGACCCTGCAACGTTATTTTGGGACATATATATTTGCTTTCATTCACAAAATAGCTTTTTTGAAGTCTGTCATAACTTTGAATGGTCTTTAAGTGACCAGTCATAAGTCAAGGGCTACCTGTACTGTAATATGCTCTACTGGGGCTGCCTCTAAAAACCATGACCCAGAAGCTGCCAATGGTCCAGAACAGTGGTCGCCAACCGGTGGGCTACGGCCCATTGGTGGTCTGCGAGAAAATTTTGGTGGTCCGCAGAGAAATGTCACCCCCAGAGCACCCCTCCCAAACCAATCCAGGCTGCGTGGGAACACAAGGCTGCATCGCCCACATGGCCCGCAGGAACCCTCCCCGCCCACTCACTCCTTACCTGGCAAACTTGCCTAAGTTGCTATTTTTCCTCCCCCCCTGACCAGCTGTTCTGCTGTGCTGGGAGATTTAGATTAGCTAGAAAGCAGTAAACCATTGGATTTCTTGCTTTGTAGCTAATGTCTAGATCTTCGGCTCTGCTTTTAAGCAAAGCCGAACCTTCCTTAGGACCAAAACTTCTATTATTCAGTACAGACTCAGGTAGCCGATGGCAGAAAGATAGATCTCTGAATGAATCTATGATTCTGTGAGCAACTCAATCTGCCTGCCTGTTTTGTCTGATTTTGGGTAAAAGTTGCTCTTTTTTTAATAAAAAAAATCAATATTTACATACATAGTGTGTTGTGAGTTAATTTTGTGAGTTTGCTTGCAAGCAAATTTTATGTAGCTTTATGTTTAATTTTATGTTTTAGGTAGCTGATGGCAAAAAGATAGATCTCTGAGTGAATCTGTGATTCTGTGAGCAACTCAATCTGCCTGCCTGCTTTGCTTGATTTTGGGTAAAAGTTGCTCTTTTTTTATAAAAAATTCAATATTTACATAAATATTTATAATATTTAGATACAAGCCATGCCCAGCCTTGGGCTCTCTGTCTCCCTCTCCCTCTCCCTCCCTGAGATCCAAAAGGTTGGCGACCCCTGGTCCAGAACACAGTGGCCAGTGTGCTCATTTACCCCCTAGCACTGGATGGAAGCACATTGTATTTATACTGGAGACCTACAGTGGCTAAGAATAAGCTTCCAGGTATACTTTACAGTGGCTGTTTTAACTTATAAAATCTTCCATGGCTTGGCACCAGGTTACCTTCACGAAAGCAACTGGTGGATTCTCCCATTTGCTGGGAATGCTCTGGGAAGGATACACCTAGGGTCAGCTTTTAGAATGTTCTTCATTAAAGCAGTAAGGAGAATACCATTCAGAAGCTCCATTACTAGGGCAGAATCTGTCAATTCAAGGACTGGAGGTGTAATATATTGTTTGTGCATGTGTATGTGTGTGTTTTAATGTGATAATGAGGAGCAGTCTTCAGAATGTTGAGTGAATTGAGCCATTGTGGCTCATAGCATAGCATACAGATCAGATTATGTGCAAACCTGGTCAACTACTATTAATTTAATTTGCTTTTGTTTTGCTTAAATATTAAATTAGCTCTGAAGTCAGTCTACGTAAAATATATCTGTTGATATAATAGAACCTAAGACTGAATTAAGCCCCATTGATTTCAGTAGATTCACTCTTTAAATATAACTAAGTTCTAAACTAAACTTGAAAAATCATAATCAAATAGACTCAACCTGCTTGTAGAGTGAAGCTTCCATATCTTATATTATCAAAAGAGCAAGTTACATTTTCCCACTGCTCTTAATATTGACTTATCATTGACTTGTTTCCTTGGCATTAAATAGAGATCAATTCCCTTTTTTGCAGTACCTTTATTTCACTGAGGATACTACATAAACTGTTGAGAATTATGATTTTAGAGACTTCAAAAAAATTGTTTAATAAAATGTACCTTATTTTCCTTGCACTGTACCCTTAATTTACTACCCATCACACAATTTCCTTTCAGGCTAAGCAGTATTATATTAAGCATAGAAAGGGAGTAAGAAATAATCAGCCACAGAAATTAAGTGTGAGATAAAAACGAAAAACAGTATTTATACTAATTCTGTTTACCACAATCACATTACTGTTTTGCAAACCACCCTTGCATCACACCATATATTTCCTTCATTTATAGAAAGTTTATTTTCTATACAAAGCTAAAAGCATAAAATTGTTGAACATAAACATAGTTTACACTATTATTAGCAGAACTGAAGTTACAAATAGAAAATTCTTTTATTTTGGATTATGCATTTAATTCCAAACGTAAGGACCTTATTGCTTTTAATTACAGGCTTGCTTTTTCTGATAGTTTTGTTTTTCCTCATTCCTGGTAATTCCATCCAGGTTTAATAACACTGTTGTACTATGCCCTGTGAACTACATTGCTAGTACTCCATTAAAATGTATGTCTTTCTTTCTACTCCTATCTCTTTCCTTTCTCTTTCATGTTTCTCTACTTGTAAACATCTTGTTGAAGTCCCTATCAGATGCATTTAGGTTGAAAGACAAAATCCTCTTTTGAGATGATGCCCATTTTCCCCTGCAGTCCATAGTGACATTCTATTCCTGTTATCATCTCTGCAGGTTTCTGTCAGTGTCTTTGTTTATTTCTCCTACATTTTTTATTTCTGAATCCTTTCTGCCCCCATTTCTGATAGAATGTACTTAGTCTGGAAATAATAAGCAAATTTTTAGATGTCCCAAGAGTTCAAAAAGGATTTCAAATGCATGTCATCTATCAAGGCTAATGATATCCAGCTGGAAAAAAATGGTATCAAATCTGTGAATTCAGGAAGATAAGGATCAATGCACAAGCAAGCATTCTGTTATCCTATTTCTGATGGTTCAGCAGATCATAGTTATTTCCACAAAGAAACTTAACTGTAAGGCTCATATCACTGTCCTGGCATCATTGACTGGCTAAGGGAATCTGGTTAAAAAAATAATACGGTATATTATTCATACTGTCTAGAACTGACTACTTAAGATATTTCAGTTCAGAATACAAAGACTCATAGTTTCTCTGTACCTGCATTCTGATAACAAAGTTATCTTGATTTTTAAGTTTTACATTTTTGGATTTTTTTGAAAATGGTTGTTTGCTATCTTCAGCTCCATTTTGAAATAATCTGAATGTAATATAGATTTAAATTTCTTTCAGTAAAAATAAAAACTGGACAATTATGAAATGCGTGCTTGATTAAGAAATAAATATATGAATACTTTTTGGCTTTTATATTGTAAAAAGAAGAATGAATGTGTTTGCTTATTTTAAGATTCAGTTATAAAATAAATCTAAGTGAACTTAAGAATTTATTTCTGATTGCATAGCATGCTTCTACTAAAGCCTTCAACATGTTTCTTAACAAGATCAAACTTGGAGGGTGGAGCTGGTGTTGCGATGATACGGCATGTGATCTTGGAGGTCTGAGATCGCTGCCGATATCTTTGCTCCTGGACGATCCTATTGGATCTAAACCATCCTGAAGAGACGGTGAAAGTGAAGAGCGCATCCTGTCGATCCCAGGG